AGCGAATTATTCTTGTTACTACGGCAATTTTGAGTGTTTGGCGCTATAATTCTATAACCATGGGCATGGATTGAATAAACAATCTGGATGTTTTTAGTCAGGCAAAAGTGGCAGCCTTGGTGAGCGGCAAGAATTTGCAAAAGCTGCGCTAGAAGCAAGAGCGGTAGGTATAGTTCCGAACTTCCACTGTATGCAGATATGTGTCTGTCAAAATATATACCACCAGTTTTGAACTTATGTTATCAACCACCAATATTATTAACATAGACTTATAGGGATATTAGTTATTTAGACCATATTTTTAACAGTAAGAAAAAAAGTAATTCCCAGTAGGACAAGATTTCTTCTTAAAGATATTTACGTTAAATACTTAATTGGCTTTCATAGGAATAACCCGTTAGTTAAAAACACGTTATCTTGCCCTTGAGCAAGACAAACTAGTACAAGCCAGTTTTTAATCACTCGACCACTTATAGCTAACTATTTAATTGGCTACAGACATCCTTCTAAATCGTTTTACAAGAATTGCCGAGACTTAATTACGGCATTCTTACTTTATTTATTATAAACGATATCCACGTAAAAGCTAAACCCTAAAGGCATAACAGGCGTCTCGACTATTGTATATAAACGGACAATAATTCTTTAAATTAACGGACTGGTTTTGATCTTGATCTATATTCTGCTCTGTGTTGTCAATACAAGAATTATAAGGTTGGTGACTTTGTATTATATTCGTTGTCTGCTGGGTTAAGCTCTGCCCTAACAGAAACAGAGAGAATCGTGTGCTGGGTTAACAAATATTAACCGGTTCCTATAAAATTGGTGAGACCCCGACTGAGAATTGTGCCTATCTGAGAGGAGTCAGATTCGCTGCTGTTGTGCCAACGGAGATCAACAACATCTACGGAGGAACAAAAGTTAAGTAATATTCACGATTCCTACTAACCTAAGCGTATAGGGGCCATTAGCTAAAAATAATCGCCAATTTTTCTTCCCAGTGCGGACGCTAAAGAACGAACAAAGAACGAGATGACAATGCATTAAAGATAAACAACAGTTGAACAATGGTAGACGGCTATGGAACGACAAAACGATGAATCTTGACGATGGCTAACGGACAAACGAAACGAACTTTTAAAAAATTATGAGGTGAAAAATCAACGAAAAATAATCAAAATGATGAAATAATGAATCAACTACAGACGAAGGGGATTTTTCAAAGAAATACGGTACATAAAACGCGCCCAAACAAATTATTTAACGCGACAAATGACAAAAAGAATGACAAACGTAACAATATGTTATTTTCATGCTCATAATTTTGTTTTATTTTATCAGTGCAGATTTTTCATCTTGTTCGGACACGCTTCATACTTCTCCTATTCTTAAGGTAAAATTCTTCTATTTCTCTCTGGCGTTTTAAAATTCGGCTTCCAATTTTTATGAATTCATTGAAGGTAGGGTAATTCGGATGTTTATTTAAGTGGCATAAAATCGTTAGGCCAAATGATTGTCCAACATAAGTAAATGTTTAGTTACGAATGGTTTTCATAAAATTCATAAAGAATGTAAATTTGACGGTCATAAACAACCCCATTTTCGATAGAATATGTTTCTAAATCACTGGCAACCTTTTAAAAAGATGATTTAAATATAATCATACTTTAATCTCGCCAATATATTCGTCTAATACGAATATATTGATCAAATACATAAACTAAGCGCATTTTTTTCTCAACGCACACAGAAGGCTATTTTTTTTCAAAGCGCTTCAAACCCAACAAGGGATATCAAGGCTAGCTAAGCCATTACTTGCGAGTTGTAAGGTTAAGGTGTGATGAAATATGTTAAATTGAAATCACTGTTTTGACTGTCAACATCAAATTTAAAACTATCATACGCCAATCTTTTCTAAAAGCTTCTTTCCACTTTTCTAATTACCTGTTCTCCATGCCTCTTCTCTGTCCCATTAAATTTTTCAATTTCAGTATATATATTAATGTGTATCCGTATAATCATGAATATTTTCTTTATTACTTGAAGTATTAATGACATTGAAAAAAATAACTCAATTTTAAATCTAGCTAATTCGGAAATAAGTTGAAAATTATCATAAAACTTTCCATATTATTACAAATCAAATTATTATTTTATCAGCCTGATAACCTTAATTTCACTCAAGTTATTTTGTTATAATTTCAGTGTAATCTTACAATCATTATTTTTTCGTTATTATTTTGTAGAGATCTGTACAATTTTTGACACGTTTGTTATGCCGAAACCCCGAACTCCGTTCTTTAGGGCCGAATTATATAGGGATATTAGTTATTTAGACCATATTTTTAACAGTAAGAAAAAAAGTAATTCCCAGTAGGACAAGATTTCTTCTTAAAGATATTTACGTTAAATACTTAATTGGCTTTCATAGGAATAACCCGTTAGTTAAAAACACGTTATCTTGCCCTTGAGCAAGACAAACTAGTACAAGCCAGTTTTTAATCACTCGACCACTTATAGCTAACTATTTAATTGGCTACAGACATCCTTCTAAATCGTTTTACAAGAATTGCCGAGACTTAATTACGGCATTCTTACTTTATTTATTATAAACGATATCCACGTAAAAGCTAAACCCTAAAGGCATAACAGGCGTCTCGACTATTGTATATAAACGGACAATAATTCTTTAAATTAACGGACTGGTTTTGATCTTGATCTATATTCTGCTCTGTGTTGTCAATACAAGAATTATAAGGTTGGTGACTTTGTATTATATTCGTTGTCTGCTGGGTTAAGCTCTGCCCTAACAGAAACAGAGAGAATCGTGTGCTGGGTTAACAAATATTAACCGGTTCCTATAGACTAACGTGTACCAGCCGAGAAGGAATTTTTCTTCGTATTCACTGTATTATTACTGATATAATATTACTGTATTTCTCCGCGTATAATGCGCACTTTCCTCGTCAAATTTAGTCTCACAAATATGGGGGTGCTTATTATACATTGATCTAGAAAATATCAAAAAATATTAATCCTCATTTTATGCTTAAACTGGCTAATAATTGTCACATTTATTAATCTTAAGTTCTTGATTTTATGTGGCAAAGTCTGTTAAAATTAGATCATCTTGATTCGGTAGAAGCATACCCAGTTCCACAACAATTTAGTGTTGATAAAGGCTCAGAAAAAATAGTGAAATAAAAGTGATAAAAACACGCTGTACATCCGTTAACTGCTGTCATGTCTGGCCTGTTTCTCTTGTTTCGCTGAATCGGCAAAACTTTACGGTAATAATTGTAATAATGCCGCAGAATATTGAGCTCCATAGAACTCAGAGATAATGGTAAAAACCAAAGTTTCTATGTTTAAATACTGAAAAATTGAAATTGAATCGGTCTATTAATTTCTGATAAAAGTGATTTATTTTCATAACAAGAACGACAATTCAAAGAAATTGATGAGAGGCTGAATGACTTAAATGCAAGCTTGCGTGCGCTGTTTAAAAATCAAAAAGCTTCGATATATTGTTAATTGATCAAAGTATTGCAGATCAGGGTTCTGGTCCAATTTGGAAATGAACAACTGTTGGAAATCGGGAGTACACATTAATTTTTTTGGATTTGCTGCTTGCTGTAATAATGACCATGTCAGTATGCCTTGTATGAAGACCTATGAAAAATCAAGGTTACTTGTTTATTTATAAAAAAGATAGATCTTTTACTTTGAATTTTCTTCATTATGTTTTTGATAATTTACATTCTTTGATGTTCTGTTTGTCGAACAAAATCTGTAAAAAAGCATTATCATTGAAAAGTGTGACTAACTAAATTTAAGATGTAGCCTTCACCGGGAAAGTTTTCTTTATTGTTTTTGCAGAACTTAATAAATTCTTTTTTTTTTTCATTTTTCTAAAATTGCAATGTATACTATTTGAAAACCAGCCAGAACTCTTGTTTCATTGATATACAATAAACCATAGTTTGTGCCTAGAATTCCGTCTACCCATATGTCATTTTTTAACAAAATAATTTATAAATTTAGAATCTCCGTCATTTGTATTTGTAATTTCTGAAAAGAACAAAAATGGGTCATTAGCGATATTTAGCAACTTGATTTTAGCTCGACTCCAATTGGACAAAACATGTTTGAGGCCTCTGTTGGACATTCTTCCAGCTACAAATTTTGTGGGCCGTGCCTCTTTTTGTCCTTCTCAGTATTTATCAATACTCATGTCCATCTGTGATGATATTTTCATTCTGATAACTCCTTTTCCTTTTCTTATTTTCTTTATTTTAGTATTATTTAGTTTGTTACAGATATATTAGTTTAAGTATGATCAGTTATATCACCATTGTGCCACATTTGAAGGTAATAAATTAAGTCGTTTTATAATAATTCTCTTACTTGGAAGAACTACCGTATATATTCCAATTCCTTTTCCAATAAATAGTAAGCGAGATCCAGCCATTTTAGAAATTTGCATGAGATCGTCAAAATGCTCACCGATTCATCTAGTAAAAAGCAAACTTTTAAAAAATAATCATTCGCGATTGTAAATATATAAAAATAATCGTAGTTACAAGTTGTTCCTCGGGACAAATATTAGTTTGCGCAAATATATAAAAAGAATATCTGTTGGCAGGCAAGAGGTAGGGTCATTCCTTTGATCCTTTCCCCAAATATGATAATCAGATCAGTTACCCGGGATTCGTCACGAACTAACCGCCAGTGTGACCTAACTAAGTGATAACTTGATGTCGGACTTGGACTCGAATCGAAGCTCGGATGACCTCGATTTAATTCGTGGTTTGATAATTACCAAACATTGAACTGCGCGGTATGGGTGAATTGATCTATAAATGTAATAACATTTCAGTTTATCAGTTTCCTCATAACTTGATTATAAAGCAAAGGCCTTAAAATTTTTAATCTAATTACAGGGCTTTGCGAAGGAAGAAGATATTAATACTGCTAGTGGACGAGTGACGATTGGTCGATATAAATGGAACGGTAGGTAGTTGGCCTAAAAATATTACAAAATCTAACGTTTTTATCACAACCTGATTATAGAGCAAATGTTTTCTAATTTCCAATTTAAATACAGGTGAAGGTAGAATTTAATTACTTTGTGAAGGTAGAAGATATTGTTACTGCTGGTAGCCGAGTGGCGATTGATCGATGTGATGGACAGGTGGGTCTAATGTGTTTTTCTATTATATGAAAAATATTTTTATTTGTGAAGAAAGACGTATATTGTTTGTTTGTGTTGTTTGTACAATGTATGCTTTTAAATAAATGTAAGCGCTTCACCAACAACAAAATTTTAAAGCAAATTCTGCGTTCTCAATGATTTTCCGTATTCAACAAGAACGATCGTGACCATAATTTGTTCTACATAAACAAAGCTATAATTTTGTGAATATACATCAATGTAGTTGAGTAAAAATACAGCATCAAATATTTCTTTCTACCAACTTATTACAGCTCTGTTAACTTTTTATGTTACAATTGAAAACGCTGAAAAACAATAATATACGACTATTAGCTTTCTTCCGTCTTGCGCCAGAATATTTTTACACCAAATGCTTTATATAGCAGGCATACGAATGCAAAATGAGATTTTGAAGAAACAAGATAGCAATGCTCAAATATATGGAAACGAAGCCGGAATGAAATATTTCACCCGCGTATATTCTCCAAAAATCATATCCTGGTCTCGGGATTGCTGCAGTTGGTAAGTTCTACTTCGATTAGCTGGGCGGTTTTGACTTCATGCTAATTTCATCACTCCAGTTCGCGCCGAGTTGTCATCCACAATAAGAATCACGTTTTATCAATAACTCACCAGTCACTGGAAAGAAAATAGTCGTCAGAAGTATGTGCACCAAGATGGCGCACAATCTGATACCCTAACTCACATACTATTTTCAGGTTGTGCGCCATCTTAGTGCACATACTTCGGGAGCACTCGCTAAACTGGCATTAAATACTAAATCCGGGCATTTTGAATACCTGATGACTTAATAATCGAATCTTGATTACTAAGAAGATATTTAAATTTCATATTTCAACGCCATGATTGTATGCGAACCTCTATTGTTTTAGGTCACCAAGACACATAAATTATTGAAAACACAGAATCCATCATTCGGTCAGTTCGCCGAGTTGTAACTCATAAGAATCATGTTTCAATAACTCAATGAGAAGAAAACAGCCGTCAAATAGCCACATATATGTGGATAGTTATTATTCTTGTAAAAAAATTCTGCATTTTTTTAAACTCATAACTTATCATTCAGATTCTGCCCAGAACAGCGAATCGAGGCGAAATGAATCTTACAAATCGGGATAAAGTAAGTAATTATTCAATGTCTTCTTATAAACGCGTAAAATGTAGTAAAAATTATCCAATCAATATCTTTATCGATATATATATTCAATGTCCAATTTTAGCTGCAATTCTGAATTTCAAGTATATTCGCCGAGCTATGATTTGTTGGTACTCCTGAAGTATGTGAACCAAGATGGCGGACACCGGAATGACTATGTGTACCAGGTTGGGGCTAGGCCATAATTTTATTCCAATTTTCCTTATTTTAGTTCTATATCGAGTTCGGGGACAAGCCAAGTGACTCCCGTAGTATTCGTACCTGGAATTATTGCCTAACCTAACCTGGTACACATACTACGTTCCGGTGTCCGCCATCTTGGTTCACATACTTCGGGAGTACCATATCTAAAATGAAATCAATATAGATTTTTTGTGTTTGCTGCCAGTTGAGATATCACATGATTTGGTCGGCTTGTCTGCCACCCAAAATGAGAATGACCTAAAATATTTAATAAATTTATTGTATTGAATATTATGATATATATGTCTTCAAATCCTATTGAACACGCTTGTCCCATTTTTATTTAACTCACGGCTGTCTGGTATGGAGTCGAATGCTGTCAATTTTCGCTGTCCCAAGTGATTCATTAGAGTGTTATTCGAACCCAAGAATGTGGTGTTGTAGTCTCATAATTGTTATTGCAGGATATGTAATTGGATTTTAGTCCAGAAGTTATACCAGTTTTTTTTTTTCAGGTACGTTCTGGACGGAAGAAAAAGAAAATATTCACCTCGAATCAAGCAAACGTAGAATGGCAGTTTTATCTTGATAGCGAGTTGTTTTAGAATTGTACAATCTGTATTTTCATTTTTAATTGAATTGAGCAAACCGGTAACCATGGCCCACGTTGGTCATCTGTCGTGGGGTGAATATCTGGATCGGCGAAGCAAGCGCTGACCTAAAACCCGGTTACAGAGGGATAGACTGCCATCTAAAAACACTCTCTTCAATTGGGACCCGCAATGGGGCACGCATGATTTGATGTAATTATATTAGTGTTATATTGACTAATTGGACTGAAACTTTGCGCTTGCGCAAGGTATATCCAAATCTCGCTTACTCTTTTTATGCCCCGTCACAAATTTCGTTCTGTGCCGATATCTTAGCAGATGTGTTATTTCAACATAATTTAGGCAGTTTGATTCCTTTTTTTATTTTGAATTATTGTGTATTTAATAAATATAACAGACTAGAAAATATTTTCCATGGAAGAACGTGAGAGCAAAGGTATAACCTCTAATATTCATCATTCATCTTGAATGATTTGATTTTTTTTCTTTACAAGTGGTTTGAGGTGGTAGATAAATATTAGAACTTAGACTTTTGTCTTTAGACTTTAGACCAAAGTTTGAATCTCGCGAATGTAACATCGACTTATCAAATGTACGTCGTCACTGGAAGAGTGACGCAAAGATCGAGAAGTGAACTCTATCTAGCCTGTGGTTAAAAGACCAACCAAAAAACCCCAACCAAAATGAGGAAAATACAAGGATTCAGACCTTGAAAACGGTAAATGTTGAAATTTTCATTCAGATCATGATCAGGCATGATCGTGGATAAATTTTGGAAATTATACTCAATTTATCTATGGCCAGTTGTCATCGCTTCGACCCGGATCCGGCGCCAGCGCGCCCCAAAAAATTGCTGCTCGCCCGTGACGTCATATCGTTAAGCACGGCGCGCCCTGTACTTCAATCTCTGCTCAGCTTCAGTTTCTTATTAGTTCAACAAAACCCATATCCCGACAACCCGAAAGCATCTAGAAAATGATATTACTTCAATAATTTTATTATTCATAAAGAGGAAAAAATATATTGCAAATTACTTAGCTTACTTACAATAAGTGTAAGACTAAAAAAATATCTGGAGAATTCATCCCCAAAATAGCAAACCATTCAGTGCCCAGAAAAATGTGAGAGTTGAATTTATTTCGAGCTATTAATTGGGATGCAGGTACAGATAGTATTAGAACGAGTAACAATGAAATTTAAAAATTTACCTTCCATGATCAAACACTGGTCAAACGCGAAATGAACGTAGTAACATAACGTAGTAAAATTTCATTTTAAAATCGGAAACGACAATTAATTAAAATAGTTCTTTTTAAAAAAAAACTACGGAACGTTACATTTGATAAACTAGTCAATTTCTTAAAGCGATTGCTATACAAAATAATGATACACGATTCATATCCTAAAATACTCTATATATATGGTACGCTCATTTATTTCTTGGTGTTGACCTCTTCTTTGGCCTTCCAAATTCAGAACGCAACTAAAATATAAAAACAGATTAGACATTGATTATTTTAAAAAGTAAAACTCGATACGCGAAAACCATAGGTAGTACGGGTACGCAATATGTCACTGTAGTCTGCCGGTACGGCCTGGCCATTAGATTGCTCAAGCGAAACCCCCACGAGGTGAGACCATTTTAATTTTGATGACGTCAACGAATCAGAGCCCACATGAATTTTTGAGATTCAATATATTTAGTAGTTAATAGAGGATATTGTCTTCACAACAAGAACAATTATAGCAACAACATAATAATAATAATGACTAGAATATCGGTTAGAAACCGAAAGGTTAGGAGATCCCCAAAACAGTGGTCTTACTCCATAGTGACACCGTGTGTCCCATCACTAATTAATTAATAACTCGCTAATTATATCACATAATCCATCCAAATCCATCCATCAATAGGCTTCTGATCCGAGCTATGATGAATGCACATGCATAATTTGGAGCAGACTAAACCTCGCTTTTGTGAGATATCGCGTGCATCTAACACACAGACATACAGACATACAGACAGACAGACAAATACCTATCAACATACTTACTGATCTTAAGATCGATAAGTAATAAGACGATTTGTATGTCAACATAAGCTCGACTTTGGCCGCATATGTAAACTGCAACAACAGTTTATATCCGTATGTATATTCTGAGGAAAAGCATCAAGAAGAGTTTTTTTACTGGAATATTAGCTCCAATATCACTGCATCGAGTCATTGACGGTGCTTTATTTAGCCACTTATTTATCAGTCTCTAAATGGAATATTAACTTGTGAACACTTCATAATATATCTGACTAAATCTGATAAACCGTGGATTGGGTTTTAAGACCTCGTTCAAGAATGGCGTGCACTTCGCTCAACAATGGACGTACACTGACACTACAAGTAAACAAAACTGTACCAGGTAAATGAAACGAACGACATTTCCGCCTCCACTGCGGTAGGAGACCATTTCCTACTATACGTGCAATTATAAAAATACCTAATTCAACCAGTAGATGATTTGTGAGATCCGTTGTCGCTTCAATTAGCTCGTTTCGTAACCCGGACAAAACCTATATAATAAAATAATATTAGAGTTGATTGCACCCGTTGCATTTGGACATTTACTTATCGTGCCCGTTGTATTTGGACATTTACATTTCTTTATTTTGGATATTCACGTTCCATCCACGTATTTTCAATGAGTTGTTTTTGAATAACACATACATTTGCGTTACTATCTGTTATTTGTAGCTCATTGTTAGTTTCATTAATTTTGAGGTGAGGGGCGAGACAAGTTATAAAAATTGGATAGAGTTTCGTTTGAAGAATATTATGTTTGGATAATGGGTAAATACTGAACTTGAAATCGCAATTTATACAATTTCTCAAATCTATCTTGTAAATTAGTTATGGAATAGAATGGGTTAAACTTAGCCCCTGGGTTAAATTTGAACTAGACTCTCTAGGTGGTTTACGTAGCCGCTAGTCGTTATTAGCTCCCTCCGCCATCGAGTCCACGCATCCAAAGCTAAAACTGGTTAACTATTCCTATACTCGACATATAATGATATCCGTACGTGAGGCCGTGGTGCCCATATTTTGGCGTCTTATCAGCTTTTTTATTCAATGAGATTAATATGGAAAGACTATCTTGCCTATATATACTTACCTCAACAAACTCTTGATCCGTGAGATCCGCTTTCACTTTATTCGCTAATACTCGTCCTCCGAACATAACCTGAATGACAAAATACAAGTTAAGAAAACTGTCGAACCAGAAATATTGCGGACGATTTAAAAATAATTGATCTCTCCCAGATCAGCAAAGTAACCTCCGCCAATGTTGTTTTGCATTCATACTTATTTCACCTAACACATAGATGCCTATGCCGGTACAGATAGAATTTTTTGGATCGGAACAAAAGCTAGCAATGATTTTTAGTGTGAATGGAATACAATTTATAAAACACGAGAGTAAGTAATTTTATAGCAGTGATTCTGACCTTTATCGTTAAATTTCCCCTTCGCCTATTTTGTAATTTTTTTATTATTTGACTTGATGGATCATGCGCATACTCACACTTCTGTACAATTTAAGTATGTTATGTGGGCATAATTAACCATTATAGTAATATTAATGAAGAAATAAAAAATAATAGGTGTACTGCAGCTAATGCTGAGCAAAATTCCTCTCCGGGAAAGATCTCCACGGTTGGGTAATGTTTTAGAGAAATAAATTCAGAATAGTCTATGATAAAAAGCTAACCTACCTTGCTTGCTTATGTTTGAGGCACGCGGGAAAGCTGTTCGTAGCTTCACATATTTTCCGTTTGCATTGGATACTTTCGAGCAATGATTGACGATTGACGATTGACGAAGTAAAATTAAACCACTGCATTATAGAAAACATTGCTCGTTGAAAATTTTTAAAGGTACTTTCAATCAATTTTCTTCAATTATATTGTTTAAGCCATACTTATTTTTGTCTCAGACGTAGCGAAATACTACATTGATTTCATAACAGTTTTCAGCTTCAATTAAATACATTAGAAACGCAACAAAATATATTTACTTACTTACATACTTTCTTATATTTGAGACGCATCGGAAAGTCACTCCTCTTGCTTCCCAAATGGAAAAGGTTTCCTTTTGCGCTTGAAAAAATTCAATCACAGATTTCAAGTTTCTGGGATATAAACAAAAAGCTTGTTATTATATCATGGTGAAAAACGGCTAACAAGTTTTATGGGGGAGACAGTAGCATGAAACAAGCAACAGTGCAGCCAATTACTTGTGAGGCGAAACAAAGGCCAAAATGAGTAGTCCGTGTATGGAATTTGCCACAGCAGACTACCGCTCATCGCAAAAACACGAATCTCATAAGCCCAGAGAATTTTTAAAAATAAATAAGAATGATTGCCGTTATGCGGAAAATACAATCTTCAACTACTGGAAATTTGAAAGAAATTGATTGGTAATGAGAAAGGCAACAAGGAAATGAATATGGACAAGAAAAACAACAATATAATAACATATGACGATCTTTATGTACATTTCGTGCCCAATAATATTAAAATTAATAACAAGTAATTACTCCATCTCTATCAGTCGTCACATGGTCTGAATCTATGTTTAATGATTGTGTTGATGGTAACTTACTTACATCTACCATGTCCAGTCATGCTAATGTTCGTCTTTTATCCACTTTCGTCTGCACGTGTATATTACTGCAAACGAAAACTGAAAAGGCAATTTAGTAGTGGGAAACTTCGGAATTGCTATAGGACGTGAAACAGGGCCTTGCGTACTTCTTACTTATTGCTTTCATTAAGAAAAAGAAGAAGAGAATCGCAATGGTTGATGGAAATATTACAAGGGCATTGGTTTTACAAAATAAGAAATTTGGAAGAATGAACGACTTTAATCGGACTGCAGATGCACATCCATCAATACCACTCCAATACATCATACTTAACTGAACATATACTCCAAACCGCATTTCCTCCATCTGATCCAGATGCTCACAATTCCAGAATTTCTGATTCTATTCCACCCCAAATCAATATATGCCTAATATTATTCAACTGCATAAGTAAGCGTATAACTGTAAAAAAAAACATATATCGCCCGCAAAGAAACGAGAGCTGTAAAGGAAGTCAGATCATTTCTTAATAGCCGTTATAATGAAAATTATTTGTGAAACAGCCGAAACGAAGAATACATTGGAAATATATGTATTTAAAATGTAAATTTGAATGCACCTACAACAAATGAGGTCTAGTATAATTTAGTACCATACATACTTCCAGTGGGCGTAGCATAACAATTTTTTTACATGTCAATCCTAACCCCCACCTGACTACTCCATCCAAAAATTACGTCATTGCGACGTAATATAGCCCTTCAAAATATGCGACTGTCATCCAAAACGCGCTCGTCGACGCACCCGAAATCGAACAGCTATTTCACTCGTTTTTTCGTCGCGACGATTTCAGTATGAGAGAGATCGCTGACGTTAGTGAGTCCTTATCGTCGGCGCCGATGCCATTCCGGGCAGTCGTACGTATATTTCACAAGCCCTATGACGTGATTGTGATGTCGTAGTGACATAATTTTTAAATGACGTAGTCAGATGGGGGTTGGGATTGTGGTACTGAACTGCGCAAGAGCCCATTAGTATGAAACCTTCATATGTCATCAGATTTATGTAAAGTGTATTATATTAAGACAATACAATGACACTTACGAAATCATAAAACTTCCAAGACTGTAGTATATATATTTATTATATTGCCCGCGCTTGTGCACGTATGGCTTTAAATAAATTCTTATCAATCCTTGATCGTCTCCCTTGAGTCTTCAATTCATGAGTTTGACAACAATCATCGCCCTAATATCATGTTATGGCCTAACGGTAATATTATTTATTTTATAGTTAGTAGTCATTGTAACTTTCGAATTCGTTCCACTTCAACATGTCCACTTCGTAGACATTTGAATCAACAATTGTAAGCATAAACATAGTTTTAACTAACTACATTAGTATGGCTGTAAAAGACTCAGAAATACGGTTGTAAAAAAAAACGCTAGATTATAAGAGGATGCACATAACACATGAGAACAGATAAAAAAAAGCCAATAATGAAAAACAAAAAATCACCTGTACTATATCCGGAACATCTCTGCACAACCGCATCTTCGACGGGTTTTCAATTCAACAACGATGTAAATGTGGATCTTGCATATGAAATGGTTCTAACATCTTTGCGCAATCATATCTATCCCGGGTTTTTGATTCGGCATGAATTCTCTCTTCAATATCAGATTAGTGCAATATTATGGCCGAACTGGAATCCCTAATTTAATGATATTTATTTAATAGTAGCTTCTGTTCCGCTCCGGCAGTTCCCGATGTCAACATTAGCAGCTTGTTTACATCCCAGACATCCAGTCAGTTCGCATAACACGATCTGAAATATATATTATTTAGCTGAAATGCAATATATGGACTGAAAAAAACATGAGATAAAAGCAAAAATAGAGTAGGAATCTAACCTAAACGTAAATAAAGTTTCTTACTTATTCTAACTTGAATGTTTTCTCGTCGATCGCCTCCATTTGTTCACGCCGTCATTCAATAATTACATACCAGAATCATTTAGTATTACGCTATGGCCTAAATGAAGAATAAAGTTTATCTCTAATAATCGTGGCATCTTTCGATTAGGATTCATCTCACCAATTTCATAACTTGCAATCAAAATTCCACTTTGTAGACATTTGATTAAATAGTAGAGGCCTAAGTTTGGTCTAATTGTATAGCTATAACAATCTTAAAAATGTCTGTAAGATAATACAGGCGTTGGGCTAGCGACACAATGATGGACATGAACCATTAAACGTAAAAAATTCTGGAAAATAAAATCAACGCTTACCCGACGGCGTCAAATTTGAAAAGACCGCCTGGGCGCAGACAAGTTTGGACGTGGCAAGAAAAACAGTTTGATTATAATAAAGAAACAAAGAGCGGAGGAGATCGCGAACTGAAGATTCCTTTTCATTGGTTAGTAGGAATTACATGACTACTTGACGTAAGAAAGAGGCAAAACAACAAAAATAGGGTAATAAGAAAAACAAAGCGAGGTGCGAGAGGAAACGACGCTGGTAACTGGTCTTTTAGGGTGAGATTATTCTGACAAGCCATGCCATTTATATGGTGACAATTGAGTGGCAAATCAAGAATCGTATCTGAGTTTTAATACACGCCATCATATCAAGTAATTGGTGGTAGGGACCGTCATCGAGGGCATTTCCGAGTTTGAGATGTGTGTAATAAGAGGTATTTCGCTCACTTATTACGCTCTCACTACAAATATATGAGGTTTTCTGATTACAAATCAGCTAAGAGTTTTACCGTAAACTTGTCACATTGCACAATTATACATTAAATACATTTTGCCCCTTAGAAGTCATTATATATAGGAAGGTTTTTAAATCGGGAAAAAATTGATTGTGTTGATAAAAACTCATTTTCGGTTCTGAATGTTAAGATTTAGTTATGCCGAAAATTCGCCTGCATGAAAAAATTGAGTTAGAAAGAACTATCAATGCAGGTCCATAGTAATAGCGATTGCATAGATTTTCGTTTGGGAATATTATATGCTTGGGTAACGAGTAGTTCTGAGAATTAAAATCGCAATTTAAATTTATACAATTTCTCAAATCCATATTGTGGGTTAGTTTTGAAATAATTTATAGTCTGGGGTAAACTAAGAACGCTAGCAAGTTTACTTCAGGGTTAGATTATAAATGTAGTTATGCTTTTACTGCGAAGGGGCCCGGGTTGCTGATATTTTACATTATTTTATTGTTTTAAAAAGGATACCCGTATATGTGGATAGTACCTATTTTGACATTTACTTTATTTAGCATATTGTAATGGATATTTATGAACACAACTATTTAAACCTTAAAACGCTATAGCGAGTTGTGCAACTATCTAACGAGAATATCGGTCAGAGACCGAAGAATTATCGATCGAAAGTTAGGGGATCCCCTAAAACAGAAACTGCGATTTCGGTTCGAAAAATTCTGCAAAACCGAACTGGATTGTTTTGATTAGTTTTCAGCCAATATCAAAAATGTAGGAAACAATAGCCAACTCCCCATGTCGTCGTCGAAATACTACTCGAGGAAATACTTTTATGAATAATTCTGCAAAACCGAACTGGAATGTTTCGATTAGTTTCCAGCCAATAGCCTATTTACCAATCCTATATTTTGTGTCAAATACAACCGCGCTAACCCGGGTTGCGACGGCTATTCAAACACAGCCTAGCGATAATTTGGTGAGAAATTCTGCAACCCCGAACCTGATAGAGGGATATGGACATTTCTTAAACTTTTAAAGAGTAATTATAAGTAACGAGATACGATCTCGCGGAGTGTATCCTTCGCTCTGACTCAATAGCGTGGAAAATTTATCGAAGGAAACTTGCGCATCGCGACGACGTCAAAGTTACAAGAGTTACAGTTTTCAGATTCCATTAAATACATTAAGGACTAATTGCACACTGCGATTTCGGTAACACAAACATCGGATTCTGATCATGCCCGTTAAATATTATTTGAAAAAAAAAATGAATTTTGAAGTTTTTGTTTTCAAAATAAATCATGATTTGAAACGCAAAAAAATATAATTACTTACTTACATACTTTCTTATATTTGAGACACATCGGAAAGTGACTCCTCTTGCTTTCTAAATGAAAACTTTTCATTTTGCGCTTAAAGAAATTCAATCACAGACTTCAAGTTTCTGAAATATAAACAAAAAGCTCGTTATAATATCATGGTGAAAAACGGCAAACAGTTTTATGGGGGAGACAGCAGTATGAACCAACAAGTAACAGTGCAGCATATTACTTATGAGTGAGCGATGCTTCATAAATTATATATAGCGACAAGAAGGCCAAAACGAGTAGCCCGTGTATGCAACATGTCACAGCAGACTACCGCCACAAGGTTTGTAACTTTTATCGTTGATGACGTCATCGCAAAAAATACGAATCCCATATAAGCCCACAGAAATTTTAAAAATAAATAAAATTAATAGCCGTTAAGTATGAATTATTAGATTAGATTGGTTGTTTCTTGGTAAACCAATACTCTTGTAAGATTTCCATCAACCATTGCGATTACTTTCGTTGATGAAATCCGGTTTACCGGCTTGTTTGAGTACGCTCTGTGCCCCGGCAAGCCGGTTTACCGGCTTGTTTTTCGTGTCGGAGGGAATCAACTTTATGATCTCGTATCTCAAGAACCACAATGAGTATTTGAATAAATTTTATATTGCATGAAAGCTTGTTATTGGGACTAATTATATTGTGATGATCGGTGCTCTAATATACGATGTTTCAGTAAAATTGGCAATTTGAAAGTGCGTATGAAATTATTGTATGATAACAAATATTTAATATAAAGAATTTCGACTTCTTGCCTAAATAGCCACATATTCAATCGGCAATATATGTGGAGAATTTGAATAGCTTTTTATATACGTATCCAAAACGATTTTACGATGAGCCATTCAAATTTTATGACCAAATATATTAGATTATCTGTAGATTTAACAGCGACGCTGCGTCAAATTGATGTTCTCATTGAAGAGCGGCAACGTCTCGTCACGCACAACTTTACGCATATTACGCAAATGCAACTAAACGTGACGATATCCGCAATAACGTTACGTCGAGATGTTATTATTTAAATGTCCGCAGGAAGTAATTAATTAACCCGATGCTACGCATTCAAAATTCGCACTACGATTTGACTTTGACTGCCCGCTCAAGCCCCATTAAGTTGTGGTTGCGTATACGCAATATGAACAAGATTGTGATTTTATTAGCGGATAACGGAACAATAAAGACCATGAAAAATGTATGTACATAAAAGACTGCTTGCTAAAAATTTTAAATTGAATATTGCACTTCGTTGTGCCCGGAACAATGAAGAACATGAAAATATTAGGCAGACTAAATCCAATATTGCACTTTGTTGTGCCAGTTATACCAATGGTTGTTGGTTTCGTTACCTACACATAGGTACTCATTACAGTATTTGTACTTATATACTGTCTCGCATCGTTTCAGCAACGCTTTGTCTTTAGCAGCTGGATTGGTTTTTTGACAATAATGTAAATTTTGCTGCATACGACGCATCTATTATTAGAACTGGCGTTTTGCGGTGGGGTATCTAGTTCTGGCGACGCATATGATCTTTTTGGAATAAGAGTTGCTCTTTCTGCATTATTAGTGCTCTCAGATATTATTCCATCCACTTGCTTCGCCTAACATTCGTAAAATCAGATATTTTGATCTGCAGAGCAGGCAAGTACTTATTTTGGTTGATATTTGAACAAATACTCATGGGCGAATGAAACATTTTCCACGTGAAATTTTATATGACGATATTAACTTCACTTCGCTATTACTGCACGCATTACTCGACGTCAGTACTTCAATCCATACAGGGTTAATATCATATCGAAACTCGGCGACCGATGTTCCGCTGAGAACGTCGTCGTGAAAGTTATCTTGCGCATTTTGCCACGCAATACGTTTCGAACGTACTTATCAACATCTTCATGACGGTAGTCACGTGATCGGCTTTTGCGTAGCTGCGTAATCAGTGCGTCATGGCCGCTTATCGATGTTGTTCACCCGACACAATGATACACAATTAAATATTTAAATATAAAATTGGTTATATGGCAGCCACAATAGTAATTCGAATATCAACAAAAAGCTTATAAAAAACTCTTTATGAACATCAAATATTGGCAGTATATTTTGTACCAAACTAACAAAATTTCAAGCCAAAACTCACATACATGCAGAAAAATGACTGTTAGATTAGGGTCAATTTTATTAATTTTGACAAAATGTATTTCAAAATGGAAAATACATTCTGAATGCACGATAAAATTTCCTTTCGATTGAAATGTCTCACAACGTGCTACCTATAATTGGTAAAAAGTTACAAGCGTGCCAAATAGCCAGTATTTAGACTTATTTTATTGTTCTACCAATACGGCGCCGCGAACCTTCAGGGTGAGCGAGTAACTTCGCTCAGAGCCGTCAGAGTTCAAAGAGTTAACGTAAGATAGAAAAATAAACTGTAACGCGATGAGTAATTTGCCATTTGTAAGAAGTAGGCATTACAGCAAATAAAATTGCATTTTTCAAAAATTGGATTGGAGGCGAATTTTTAGCATTACATGACATGGTTTCTGAAAGTGAGTTTCCATCAACTCAGTTCATGTAACGACTGATGGAGATGGGTGACCATTGGTTATTTGTTTCAATATGATTGAACACGAAATGTACATATGGATCGTCATGTTATTATGTCGTTAGTTTTCTTGTTCATGTCCATTTCCATGGTAATATCTTGTTATAGAAAAATCGCTCCGCTCTTTTTTCATCAACTACTGGACCAATTGCTTCAAATTTCCGGTGTGTCCAGATTGCATTTTTCGCTTAACTGAATAAATCTTCATCTAACCGCATTTTCTCTAACAGACCCAGTTGCCAACAATTCCAAACTTTGTGGTCCAATTCCACCTCAAATCAATAATTAGGCCTGATATTGGTCTAACTGCATGAGTAAGCATAACTGTGAAATCATAAAATTGCAAAATAACGAGAAGACTGGTAATGAAGTCAGATCATTTAATAATTTCCGTTAAAATTAATATATATATTTGCGGAAAAGCCAAAATGATGGATATGACTGTAAGTAAATTAACTGTATTATTTTTTATTTTCTCTTTAGCTGGTAGTCACTGTATCTTTCGTTTTCGTTTCATCTCGACAGTTCAACTTCACAGACATTTGAATCAACAATTCTAGACCTAAACCTAGGCTTAGCTGCATTAGTATTTAGAAAAGCGGCTGTAAGGAAGAAAAACGCCAGAAAATAGGGCGGACATAAGACACGAGAAAAATGAACGAGATAAAACGGTTATGACAAAAAAATTCAGTAAATATCACATGTACCACATCCGGAACATCTCTGCACAACTGCATCTTTGTCGAGTTTTTAGCAACGATGTAGATGTTACTAACAGTTGAGGTTACGTGAAACTAACTACCTTTCCTTGCTCTAACTATGCCTTTGCGCAGGTGGATCCGTATGCGGATAGCTCAAGGATGCTATAGCAAGAGTGAAAATGACTATTCTATTTAATTCAAGAGTCATGCTGCACACGTACACAAATATATATATTTCTGTGACGTTTCGTCTGACCGAGGTCAGACTTCTTCAGGCAAGCATTTTACAACTATGACAAGAAACGCAATTGCATGCACACAAATAATGGTATATATCAAAGTTTGGGTTGGAGAGAAATAACTAAGATTGGGACAGTGCCAGAACAATAGGAGAGCTAAATTTGGATTATTATCAATAAGTATCCTGATAACAACTGTTAACTGTTACGACGATCCGTTACGGGTATATTGCGAGGTTCCGATCCTTTTATGAAACTGGTTGGGAATGATGGAATGGAGCGCAGAAAAGATTGTTGGTTGTTTTTTTTCCCGCATTTAAAAATTGGTATAACTCTAGCAAGTTTTAATGAAGAAGGAAATATACCTAAATTGAATGACGAATTGAAGAAATTACTCAAAGCTGGTGATATGATATCAGCAACTAATTTCAAAAAATAAGAGGAAATACCATCCGGTCCAATCGCTTTACCCTTTTCCAGGTCCCTGATTACACAGAGAACTTCTAAAGGTGATGTTGACTCAAGAAAAAAAAGAGTTCTGTAAAGGGACACCCAGGAATTCAGCATTTGATTTGGTACTATGTGGGATTTCATCTGCGAGTTTTTTCCCTATAGAAGAGAAGAATTTGTTGAATTCAGTGGCCACATAGACGGGGTCTGTCACAGTAGTACCATTTTCCAATTTTAATTCTGAGACGGTGGGTACCTCTCTTGTCACAATTTTTATAATCTCATTGATGGTTTGCCATGTGCGTTTGACGTCTCCTCTGTTGTTGACTAGAATATTATGGTAGTACAGCCGTTTCGATTTCCTTAGCAAGTGTGTAAAATATTCTTGTATTTTTTGAAGTAATGACGCTGCGATGCGTTTCTGTTAAGAAACATTATTCTGAACATGGCGTTTTTGTGTTTGATGGACTTGCGAATTCCCCTGGTTATCCAGGGCTTGGAATACAATTTATTTTCTCTGCGTGACAGAGGGCGTAATGGTGCGTGCTTATTTATCAACCACTTAAAATGGCTAAGAAAGAGGACAAATGAACTATTAAAATTTTCTTTGGATAATATAACACTGGCATAATTTCTACACATCATCTCAACTTCCAATCTGAATGTGTCGGTAGAAAAATTTGCCATGTCACGCTTCATGCGTGTTTTTGTTTGGACTTGAGCACTAGTTGTTGATAAAGTACACATAATAGGTACGTGTTCACTCACCTAAAATAATTAAAATATTTCACACACACATGGTCTGGTATAGTTTAGTATCGGTACCACGTGCACTTCTAGTTGGCCTGGCTCAACAATTTTCGCCTAAGTCATTCCTAACCCCCACCTGACTACGTCTCCAAAATATTACGTCACTAGACGTCACAGTGTCGTGATAAACACCTCCAAATTATACGGATGGTCGAGTTAGGCGCTGATTCAGGATTTTACAGATTTGATAAATTCTACAACCACACATCAGGGTATCCAAGTGCAGTTTTAAGTATTCTGTGGCGTCTGCAGCTGCCGCAAAACCATGGCGGTATTTCCATACCACAGCCAAACCTATGGCGTCCAAATTGGTCCCAATGAACACCTCAATGATGGCGACTGACTTTTTAGCTGCCACAAACCAAGGACGAGATGCCGTTACCGCGGCAGCAAATTGAAAACCAATGGTTTGTAAAATTTTGCTGCCGTAAACACGGCAGGTGGGCCGTAGAGACAGGGATGTCGCTTATGGTGACAAATATTGGGTACCGTTAAAATCTGGTACATTAATTTGTGAATATACCGTAAATACTGATTACTGAATAGCGCTATAAAACCATGGCAATAGCTGCCGCGGTTAGTTCGTGGCAGGAGCTGCCATGAAGTGGTAAGAACTGCGCCTCAGGCAGTCAGGGGATCAGTCGAATATCATTTGACTAATGATTAGACATTGTATTGGGAGTACGGTATCATTTAATCTAGTATCTTTTTTTCTGTTTTTGCATCAATTTACGGTACCGTACCATACAGCCATACTACTTGACTACTGTACGGTATCCTGTCTCTGTTATACCGGCGGTACCGTTTAATTATTACGGTATGTCTGTATTAGATATTGTTACATTTTTGAGGCAAATAAACATGCACACATACGGTACCGTACCGCTAATGTACTACCGGTACCGGTACCGCCGGTACTAGACTACCGGTATATCTCAGATTTTTTTTCACACGGTTACAGGTACCGGTATTAATCCAGAAAGCATACCGTTCGGTACAGCTGTACAGGGATTTGAGATTGAGATCTGTATGTTCTGATGGTTGGGAAAATTTATTCGTCTTTATCTGAAGGTTCCAAATCCAGTAGTCTTTTGAAAGGTCGCAAAGTAAATAGGCCTACATATTTAAGTTTTTTATTTATTTTTAATCAGACTTATATTACAGTATTATACAGTTCTGTAGAAAAATGGGTGAAATAATTGAGCGACCATCAGTATCACCCATACTTTGGAATGCGGATACTGAAGTTTGTCTATTTTATGCCATGCGAGGACATAAACCTGTCGGAATTAATAAACATTTTCATATGATGGGAATTCACAGTAAATTTGCTCAATCTTTGGGACAACCTGTAACGAGTGCTCAAATATGGGAACATTTATCAACAATGTATAATCTTGCAGTATTGGATGAATCAGACGCTTTGCCTTTTAATAACAATGTAAAGCATTTTCAACTACCTGAAGACATTTTAAATTTTGGCAAAGATAAAACAAAAAAAGAGCAGCATGAGGCTGCAGTAAAAACGCCATCAACAGCAAAGTCATCCTCAAATAAAGATTTACAGCTGCAAAGCAAAAGCACACCTCCAAGTGCAAAAAGCAATAGAAAACGAACTAGAAATGTTACATCGGTAAGTCCTGCTGTCGGAGCTTCCGGTCCCGGATCAAGTAAGCGGAGGCGGTGATTTAATCCCATTTTCACGAGAATGATGTTACATTCAGACATATGTCAATTATTCGGAAAAAAGTGAAATGTTTGAAAGGATTAAATGCGATGCAAGAATCAAAAGTTGGCCCGGACAGTAGGATGTGAATCAAGATTAAAACAATTTGTGACGAAGCGGAACTTTTTTCTAATAGATAATTTAAAAGCAAATATGTTCATTTTTTGTGTAATTTCTGCTCAAAAATAGTTTTGCTGTTTTCTATGATTAATTTTTTATGAAAATCCTAAGTCAAGCTAAAAACTTCTTTACCAACAAGATGTTCCAATGCCTATTTTGGCTCCAAATTAAACTTTGAACCATTCATGTTGCTATGACTATGACTACATTATCAACATATAATAATCTAATTACTGATCACTCTTGAGATAATCACGAATTTACAAAGACCAATATGTATTTTTTTCTATTTTTATGGCATTCCAATCATAAGTTTTTAGCGAGGGGTATATGTGCATCATTTAGCAATACAAAATATAAACTCAGAATTGTTATTCGCTATGTAAACATTGCCATGATGATATATAGATTTTTATAATCATTGTAAATACAAAAACGAGACGACTTGGATTAATCAAAGAGATATCACTTAAGCATTGTTCACTAATGCTTTGTTCTGTATGTACAATGTGTATTTTCGGCATGTGTAAAAATAAACTACTGATACTGTTGAGAGACTTGCTCACCCTTGTTTCTGCCACTTGGAGTTATTAAAGTTAAGAGCGAGTCTTAGCCAAAGTGGTCCGAGCATATATCTCCTGTGTAATATCATTTAGCTTTGTTCAGTTATTAATAATTAACAAGAATTGCGATTGTATTCTTACAATGATATCACTTTAAACTATGGGCCTATATTATTCTGGATGTTGTATCAAGTATTTCATTATGAACGCTTTGTATAGTGGAATTGAGCTCATTGTTGGTTAAGTTTGCTTAACACTCTAGATATATATATATTTCATCAGAAATTTTGTTATCCAATTATCAAAATGTGAATTTTTTACTTTTGGCTTACTTGATAGATAAAAATCAATTTTCGATTTAATTATCAAATAACAGAATTGGAGAGGCAAGATGAATTTGTGAAGGTATTATTCACTGATATACTATAATTTGTTAAAAATTATTGTTATTTTAGGTGACCGAATGTCATAATAGAAGTTTTGACTTTATCATACCAGTAAATTTTTCCTCCTTTTTCCATAGCTTTATGCATTTTAATAAATAGGCATTTTGCATAATGGGTGATGGAGAATATGCAACCTTGTTACCCACTGTAAGATGGGCACAACGCAAGGATATGCTGAGCTTAAAGATAGAGTTGCAACAATGTCATCATCCTAATATTGTACTGAAGACTAAATCCATGACATTCGAGGCCAAAGGCGTTGGAGCAAACGGTGAAAATCAGTACAAGTTTTCATTAGAATTCTATAAACCAATTGATGAAGAAAGTTGTATTCATAAAGTCACTGGATCATCTGTTGAAGTTTTCTTAACAAAAGAAGGAATGGGTGAATGGTGGCCTCAATTAACTTCGCAAAAAAAGAGTCCCCATTTCTTGAAACTGGATTTTGACAAGTGGAGGTCCGAGTCTGATGAGGAAGATGAAAAAAGAAAGGAACAGGAATCGTCTTTCCTGAGAGAATTGAAGAATGAAAAGAAGAAATACGAGGAAACAGTAGATATGCTAAGGAGAGGATATCTCGTTCTTTATAACGTCATACAGTTTCTAGCTCACTGTTATATATTTTTCTTTCTCACTGTCAATATTTTTAGAGGTGGAACGAAGCTTTTTCCCATTGCTTATGACAGGTGTGGAAATGCAGTGCATTTTGCTGTAGTTCTTTCTTTTATGGAAGCGGTCCATCCTTTTACTGGAATAATGAAAGGCTCTTGGATCACCCCACTAATGCAAGTATTTGGGAGAAATTTTGCTCTGTTTTGTCTTTGGCTGGCTGCAGATTTCATTAAACATGAGTGGTATGTCACAGTACTTCTTTTGGCTTGGAGCAGCATTGAGATGGTTCGTTATCCATTCTATGTTTGTGAAACTGCAAACATTCCTTCTCGTATCGTAACATGGCTTCGTTATTCTTTGTGGATACCACTATATCCGTTAGGCGTCTCAATGGAGACTGTATTATACATACGTGTTTCACAAGTTTTTGCCGAACGTGGTATGTATGAACTTAATATGCCAAATGCTTTTAACTTCACCTTCAAGTTCATCTGGTTGATACGTCTGTATGTTGCACTCTTGTTGTATACAATTGTAACTGTCATGATACCTCACATGTGGAAAATGAGACAAAGAAAATTGAATGGCAGAAGAAAATACAAACAACCATAATGGCTAGTTATCAGCAAATAAACTATATATAAATTATGAGCAATCATGCTGTGCATTTTTAACCACCGTAATTTAGACAATGATCAAAATTTTAGTAAGAAATTGAAGTACCGGTATGTGCAATGGTATTGCTCAACTTCAAAATCAACAATTTGCCAAGAAGTTTCAGCGCTAATGTTTGAACCAGAATGATTGCTGGTCAAATGTTGTTCCCCTTTTAACACATTGAGTGATTTAATATTCTTAAGCTACAGCAATGGGCGGATTATAGATTTTATTTAATAAATTTTAGGAAATAGCCATGAATTTAACCTTTCAACCCAACCATAAAGAAGCAACAATCCTGGATTGGCAGGAATGATTCAGCAGTAACATTTATAGATACCCGTACTTATTTTGTGAATGCAAAAAAATACATCATAGTTTCAATGACCAAATTGTTTGATATTTTTGTAATGTTGTGATTTTCTTCAATTAGGCTCTATGTATTTATATCATATAAATTGTCTCAAATATGGATTTTCTTCCTCCAACTAAACCAGATGAGAGTGATTGTTGTGGGTCTGGATGCAGAAGATGCGTTTTTGATGTTTATGAAGAGGAATATAAAATTTGGGAGCGTAGAATCGAAGGAAATGAAGAAAATGGTGTAGGTGATGTTTGTGAATAATGCTTGGTGAATAACTCAAAATAATTATTCGTTGTCCATTATGTATTTCAACACAACCAACACTTTCAGGTGGAACAGAGGAAGCCACACTGTGTCCAGACAAGTACACGGACCTGAGAATTCAGAAAATGGACAGAGTTAACACAAACACATTTGTGTACCATTTGTCTGAACAATCAGGGAAGCAAATTCAATTCAAGATGGATATAGGGCAGCATGTTATCATAAAATCTAACTTTGGTGAAGAGTACATTACGAGGCCATTCACACCTGTTCAAATGACTGAATTTGATAAGAATTTAACTCTAGTGATTAAACTGTATAAAAATGGAAAAATGTCTTCTGTGGTAAGCGACTGGAAAGTGGGTGATTTAGTACGATGCAGGTGAGACTTGTACGTCCAATAATCATGCTAGAACATCAGCATTTATGAGCTTTGTTGAAAAGCTACGATGGCCAGTGGCAAGTGTCGATATAGGACGGGTGACACTGAAACAACAAATGCTTTAGTTTGGATCAGGGGTGTGCGGCCTTTATTACAAGAGGGCCAGATACAAATGAATGGGCGAAACAGCGGGCCGCACCTTCATTCATTATAAGCTTCCTAGTAGTTACAGGCACGAAAATGTTGGTTATTAATCTTATGACATTGCGTTGTTAGCTGTTGGGGCATTGTATCGTCATAGGCATAGATAGAAAATTGAACTCTGGTATTAACTAAATAAAAACCTCGTTCCGCGGGCCCCTGGTTTAGATGAGTGAACACTGAAACTTTATATGCTAAGCCCACTGCAGGATGCTTCTAGATACCCAATTGAAGCCACCTCCCCTTCACAAGTTATTTATGATTGAGCCCACAGCAGACTCTCTCTGCAGTGATTAATTCAAAATACCACTTTAAATCTTTTTAGAAATACTTTTCAAACTTACTTTCTGACTTAATGAAAATAGCATACAGTAATCTCTTTCCACGATATATCATGTATATTTATGAGCTTTGCTGTTATCAAGCCATATCTTGTTTTATCTGAAGAAGACTATGATCTAACGAAAGCTCATAAATATACTTGATATTTCGTGGAAAGAGATTACCGTCCGTATGGTGTTTTTATTTATCTTTATAATACCATCTCAGTCACGCATCCTTGTGGCTACAGCCACATACGGATCCGGAATATGAAATAAACAAGGAGAAAGGACCTGCAGTTCAATACCCTAGTACACCCCATACTTATAAATGGATGGCTATACCTTCATTTTGATACAGTGAGGCTGCTTATACCAGATTTAAGTAACATTGCAATATATTTACATTGTTTTTCTCTAGGGGGCCAGTTGGGTCACAAATACAGTACAGTTGCAATAAATGGGGGAAAATTCTTCTAATTGCTGCAGGAACTGGAATAACACCAATGGCTAAAGTTATACAAACTATTCTATGCAATGATGATGAAGACACTGTGATAATACTCCTTTACGCTTGTCAAGTTTATGAAGACATCCTGCTGAAAGAACAACTAGACAAATGGGCAGAATACTGGAATTTTCATGTCATTTATTTTTTAAGTCAAGAAGATAAAAAACAAGTAGAATCGAAGAAGAAGTATAATGAAAATATATTCTATGAACGTATCAGTTTTAACAGTTTGAAATCGATTGGAGAACAGTTTCACATAAACTTTGACGACGCAAAGCTCTATTCTTTTGTGTGCGGGCCTATTGAATTTGAAATTGATTTAGAAAAGAATCTTGTGAACTGTGGTATGACTATTGAAAATATATATCGTTTTTAATTATGATTCACTATTATGCTAAATGAAAAAAAAATTTACCAGATGTTTGATTATTTTCTAATGTCGACGTACGGTGATCGAGTTTTATCTACATTTCCAATTTTTTGCATTATTAACAGCTAAGCAAGAAAGCACCACTGCCAATACGGAAAATCTAATGTTTAAATTTGATCTATGGAGAGTAATACTCTTTGAACTAATAAGAATCAGACTGATATGGTGTAGCAAAAGATTTAACATAGGTATTACAACAGCGGTCAATGGAAGGGTGGTTACAATTTATACCACCTATGGGCTTATTTTCACATCTGACCTGAAGGCCATGGTCTGAGATCTTGTCCATTTCGATAACTTTGAATGGCATATGCCACAGTGATTTCATTTCGCTTCTGATCAGATTCAGTTTCTTTCAAAATTTAGTTTAGGGTGTTACAAACTTTGGCAAGCTCAACAGGGTTAGTGCCTGATAATTGTATAATCTCTTGTCTTCCCTCATCTGTCATTGCTGAAAAATGAAGTCATATCATGTATAAAAAGAAATTTACACTATACATATTAAAGAGTGGATTATATTTTTTTTTTATCAGAGGGAGATGAAAGCATGGACTATATTTAGATAGCAGATAAGTGTGGATATAGATAAATGAAACAAACAATATTGATATTTGACAATGTAAAATTTGGTAGATTTTAAACACTAAACTAGTGTTATCCATAACACCATATTGTGACACAAAAAGTTTTAACAATACACAGGGGGTAAACAATTCAAAATATATTTTCAACTAGTAATCATAATTTAACCAACAGAACCACATTAATAACATGGTGGAACATAGAGAATTCTTTTACTCAGAATTTACTCTTAAGAAGCAGTAATCTTGCACAGTGAAAATCTAAAACAAATCTAAATTTCTGTCTAAAGCTCATACCTTTTTCTGTTAGCCATTTTCTGTCTTCATAATATGCAAGTTGGGAAAGAATCTCTTCATGAGTGTAGTTCTCAACTTCTACGGGGATATGAGGGTCAAGTGCATCAAATCCCTCATGTCCGAGTACTTTATATGTGTGCGTAGCATCTCTGATATTTATTCCACGTCTTAATGGCGTGGTATATATGCAACTCATTGCACAAACTACAGCCCCATTTGTCTGAATAGAAAGTATAAATAATAGATCATAAAAAATGGTCACATTCTTATCATTAGATGAAATACCCAAAATTGTATTTGTTCGTAGCATGAGTACTGAGTAGTCCCTGCTGCAAAAGAAATGCGCTGGGATCTTGGTACAAATTGCAAAAAAAATTTGGACAAAAAATCTATTCAGTTTAAATATTGCCTTGCTGTAAATTTAAACTGTATTTTAATATTTCGAATTCATAGGTCTAACTGAGAGGTATTGAAATATCAACAATGTTTCCAGCATAGCAATTCTCACCGAAAATAACATATAGGTTCAAACCCAACATATGCCACCTTACTCAAGATGCAATAAAATATGATATATGCTAAACTGAGAAGATCTCATTTCGTCCAAAAACTCAATAGCTCCCACATATCAGTGATTCATGCCTCAGGTAGGAAACACTACATAACTAGACATATACCTCTCAGAATACGAGACTAAAAACTGTATATTTAACCATCCGCATTGAACAAGTAGTATATTTTCAAAGAATGGGTCCAATATAGAAAGTACTCGAATCTTACCCATGTATTACTCATAAGCTTCTTCAAATTAATAACAAATGCAAGTTCATCAGCATTGACCTGTAAAATGTATATGCATATTAAGTGACAGGAAGTTACAATTGTACATCTTCTCAAATTTAACATTTTGCACAAGTATTTGTCCTTCCAAAAGTGTATCACTATTAATTATAAAAACAGAATTTCATCAAGTTTCCAAACTCTTATCATAGCTATCCAAATCTTATATATTTATTAATCTTACATATCCTTCTATAGATACTTTTAGATTTTGTGCTGGCGAATTAGTGCATTCACGCAGTCTATGGCAACCAGAGTCCTGCAACACAAAAAAACGTAGGATGATAATTTTCTAACAAATTTGAATAGATGTAACAAACTATGCCGAGTCTGCCATATTTTATGGATCGGGTAGTGCTTTATTGTCTACACTCAAAACCAATACCGGTTGCGTCCAATAGCCCGGTGCCCCATGTGTGGTCAAAAAAACAATCACGATGCACCTCATGGTCTATAACAGGGGTTCTCAAACTTTTGGTGTTGCGGAGCCCTTGAAAAGATTAACTATTATTCACGGAGCCCCAAATGAAATGTTAAAATTGTTACTTTTCTATTAATATTCCTGAGTAAAATTAAAAGTACTTTACTTAATTTGAATGCTAAACCTTTTTAATAGGGTTAATACAAGTCATAAATAATCTAAATTTCAAAGATAAATTATGTATACTAAAACTGTAAATTTGACACTTGATAAACATATTAATAAATTATGGACCGAATCTTTACTCTTTTGACATTTTCAGAAGACTTACAAAGTCGCTGACAACGTGCGCGAATGTATTTTGTTACATTCGCCGATGGTTCTCCTCAGCATGGCAATTTTTTAACATCTTTACGTCGGTGTTTATTCTCCCTAAATCAAAAATTTCCGTCGGCACGTACATGTATTGTTTCACAATGACGACGATAATTGCTTTTTTGTTCTCGTGGGGAATTATGAGTTCAATGTGAAAAACATGTTACCATATCGTCACGCTAATAACCGAATTGCGTAAGTCATTTTTGACGATTTTGAGTTTTTTTTTATAAAATAGGTATTTATGTGATGCTGCGCACCTGTCTGTTAACTCAGATTTTATATTAAGAATTCCGAAACCCATAAAAATGAAGATTTAGTATGACATGCACATTTGTGCAATTGTTTCCTCATAATGAATTATCATTGTTACCGCAGGACTATTTTGACGTCACGAAGGCAAAAATAACCTCGGCGAAGTATTTACGAGTTTTTGCATCTCGGATTCTAGCTTAGCGCGTATTAATTTGAATTTATACTACAGTATAGGAAGGCGTGCACTTGTGATATTCACTGTCCGAGTTTGGGTGCATTGCTGTTTTATTCTTTATATTTAATCTTAGTCTTTTTTCGGTGGGTGTGCGGAACGTGTTATATTGATGAAATATATATTTTTAAACATAAAAAATATTGAAATTAAAACTGATTAGCTATTTTGGGGATTAGACATTGTAGATACTGAGAATTACATTCGTTTTTGGAATGTTTAGTTTTCAGGACTGGTGCATATAGTAAAGTTGCAAAATTGCGTATGTGCCCAAGTCATAAACACATTTCTGCCTAAGTCACAGTGCGCCTTTATGACGTCACTTAACTGCGTCATACAAATTAACTTAAATCCGGCTACGATCAAAAAATTGAACCATGGCAAATTATTGACTCTCAATGGCATAACAATATCATTAGGTTTTTTACGTTTTTCTCAAAACTGCTAAAAATGACTTACGCAATTCGGTTATTAGCGTGATGATATTATAGTCATCGGCGACAAAACGCTAAAAATAATTTAATAAAGAGGTAAATTCGAAACTCAAATTTCTTGATTGAAAAACGATATTCTGAAATAATAAAACTTAAAATGAAAGATCACACTATAAATTTTATTTCAGCAGTCTCACGTCAGATCAAAAACGCTTTTATATAGGCATTGGAAATCACAAAATTTGGTGTTATGTTAGGTTTTCTCTGGTGATTCATCGTAGTAACTGCGAAATCGTAACACAGTCAATTGTGCGCGCGATGTACCTTTTTTTCATTCTGAAACCACCGACGGAGCCGCATGCAATAAATTAATTTCAATCGTTCGTATTTTTGCCGAGACCTTGTGATTTTTTAAACGGCGATTAAAATATCAATTATTATCTTGCTTAAAAATAATCTCGAGTGCAAAAGAACAAATGAAGTTTGACAAATCCCAAGATCGCAAAAATACGACTCCAATTTATTTATAGTTGGCAGTTTATCACATATTTTATGTTATTTTAGAATAGTAATCCTTTATTTTAGTAATCCTAATAGTAATCTCGAATCAAACGTGAGTAACGACGAGCACAATTATATTATTAGAACAAGACACTTTAATTAAATGCTCGCATCGGTCATGGATTGAATATTTTACGCAACAGAAATCTCGCAATCCGTTTTTTTTTTTAACTCGCGAAGAATGTCGCGCGGAAGTTTCCGATTCCATTCCCACCCCCTCCTCAGAAGCCTGGCTGCGCTCCAGCTTATAAATAATTTCATTTTTTAATTTAGCCTCTTTGCCATATTTCGAGGCTATATATTGTTTCAGATATTATCAAAGCTGTTATTGCTTCTTTGAACTGTTACAAAATTAGCCAAGTCAGTATTTTGAAAAGTAATCGAATAGCTCGCGGAGCCCCTGGGTTTCTCTCGCGGAGCCCTGGGGCTCCGTACGGAGCACTTTGAGAACCTATGGTCTATAAAATATGATACTATTTAATAACCATCTAAGTTCGAAAAATTATTCAGTAGCACCCTTTATTTGAGCAATCGAACAATCACTATATTAGTGTAAACTCACTGGCAGGGAATAACTAGCCTTAGAGTTAGAGCTGAAGTTTTATCAAAAATTAAAAGAAAAAAAATAATAATTCCTCACTACCTAGGCATTGTTTCAGGTCCCTGTACTCTTATTTCTCTCATAATACAACCAATAGCATCTGTTGCAAGTCTAGTTCTGGCGATACCTTGATCTACAAGAGCTCCCAGTGAAGATCCAGCATCCGTTTTTTCCCTTTTTGTCCAAATATAATCTTTTGAAGTTTTTATCTATACAGAGCAGAGGATCAACCAAATTAAAAGCCTATATTATAATGATTCATTCTACAACAGGCTCCTTAGAAATATTCCGTAGATTTCTTTTTCATATAATAATATAAATTGGATATACCCAGGACATGTTTTGTTTGGGGAGGATTTGAAAGTCAATAATACCAATACAGATTAACTTTAAGGTTAACCACAGTTACATGTCGCTTTACCCATGCAAGTCATAGATAATAGTAGCTAACAAACATTTTTTTATTAAATGCACAGATATGGTTTTGAAAAATTCATAACTAACAGCAGTTACATTGACCACCCTATGATGGCCAAGTGTCAAGCTAGCAATCAACTCAGACTGTATTGCTTGACAGAACTCGCAACCAATGTGGAAAAATTAGTTATCTTTATGCTAAACATACATACATTCGCAAGATGCTGTTTATTAATTCGTTTAAATACTTCAAGCCATGCGACTGCTCGATCAGGTTGGTCATAACGATCATTATTCCATTGTGACTCTGACAGTTCTTTTAGTTGTGTTTGTTTGTGTTTTGATCTATGCAACATCCAATCCCATGCTGAATGTTTAAAATCATTAAAAAAAATTTACTTTGAAACTATAACAAGTATATTTATTTATGGCCAAGATTCAGATAAAAAAAACAGGATCCAATATTCATTTCTTCACCACCATAAGTTAGAGATCTTGAGTTTGATCCCAATTTACCCCACACTTGCTAGATGACATGAAGTCTCAGAGACTACTTATACAGATCCAAGTGTGAAGAAAAGACATATCATGGATCAGACAATGAGAATATCTACTTATCAACAGAAATTTATTGGTGAATCAATAAATATTAACAAAATAGCTAATAAAAACTTCAAACTTCTCACCGTTAAAAATAGGAACAATAAGCCAACCATATTTTGAACAATAATGTGTAACATGTTGTAAGGTGTAACTTTTTCCAGTTCCGAAATCGCCATCTGAGTTTTGAGTTAAGAAATGTTGGGGAAAAGGGGTTTCTGGCAGTTTCATTTATCTCTTTATTTACTTTATTGCCACATATTTTTTACGTGTTTTTTGAACAAAACATACGATCACCTTACTATCTGTTTTTGTAGCTTATTGATAGGTAGGTATTTTTGAAGTGAGGCGCGAGACTTGACAAATTCTAAATATGGTGCATGACCTAAAAAGTTTAAGATCCAATGTATAAGAGTAGCCTATGTGTACGCATAAATACATACAGTTACAATGTCCAATACATAGCTCTTGTCATGCATGACACATTTAACAAACTTTTCGTTTAATGCAGATTAAGATAACCAAGATAGCCGACTAGAAAAACAATTATGGTATATGCTTCTGTAAGGATACAAATAAGATATCTTTGTACAGGAAGGGAGTAATCAGCATGCTTCAAATAATTTAAAATTTCAATAGATGGTTTTCGTATCATCATCGATGCTTCATTGAAAGCATGAAACTGAAAAAAAACAATTGCTGTAATAAAACAGTAGAAAAATATCATCCTATTGTGCACACCAAAAACGATAGTAGTATATAATATCCCAAATGGACAACAATTTTGTTATTAACTCATATCTGAGCACAACATAGATATGATAAAAAGCATACATCCAAGTCTGTCAAAGTTACTTTCTTGTTGATAAAGAAAAATATCCAGCTTTTAAATTGACTTCGATCAATTTCGTTTTTCGTGATGACTTCTTTTTTATATTACTGGTCTCTATTATCCTGGTTACAATTACAAAATCAAGTCATGATTTAAATAGACATTAATACTCAAATTACCTTTTCTCTCAGCAGAAAATTTTCAACATCAACGTCACACATTTGAATACAACTTTCAAATTGATTCGATTCACACATCTTTGTTGTCACAAAAGTTGTGAATTAATCGTTATTTAAACTCTTTACTATCATTAACAATATTATTAAAAAAACAGATACCAGTGATAAATGCAGAGTGCAATTCTGAGCATAAATTACACATTTTCAGCAGTGCATTACAGCCATAAGCGAGAAATACATACTTCTTCTAGAGATTTTTTGTCAAAAGCTTTTGAGCTGATACCATCCGGGCTGAGGACTTTGAATTCGTTTTGTGGAATTGTGTAAAATAAACCGATGTCTTTCATACTATGATCTGCCTGAAAATTAAATCATAGTATTTAATTTAAATTCCGTATATGAATATTTTATTAATTGCATCATTAGTATTAAATCTTTTTATATATGCACATCATTAAAATATTCATAATTTAATGTATTCGCACACGGCACAACCATTTCCAAGTTATTAATTATAAAACTCTATGTCATCTGCTTCAAGCGGATTTAAAATGATGCAAACAACCAGCCTTTACACATAGACTCCGCCACTCGATCAAAGCCTAATTAAACAGCTAATTTTACATTAAAAAAAAACACACCGGGTCATTATTTTCACATCTAAATTTCTTTGGTAAATACAATTTATGTGCTTGTTCCACCGTCAAACTTGAGACTGGTGATAATTCTTCAGATGAAAAGAACCTTCTTTGCAAATTAATGAAAGCTTGCAATCGTAATGCTGGTCTGATTCGAATTTTCATACACCCTGAGCAGATTGTACTGAGTTTTCTTGAATGTGACATAGTATAGTTCCAAAGAGGAAACCCTTTACAAATTACAGACATACTTTTTATTGTTATTAAACTAAAAAAGAAAATAACAAACCACAAATCACATGAGGTGAAAACAATTCCCTATGGTCAAATTGTACTAACTAACACGATCAAATCTTCTAGTTAAATCTGTAAACAGATTGTTTTAACTCGGTCTTTATTTTCCCAATAAAATTATTAATGATTCAACATAATAGTACTCAATTGCATGTGTTCACATATTTATATTAAAAGCCATAATATTCCTTTCACATCTTTGGAACCATTTGTAAATTCTAAGATGAGTATATTTTGAGACAAGATGGCACATCGGCATATGTATCAGGCATATCCATTAAAGAATATACTAGACATTTGACTTGTCATTCAATTATTCAGTTGTAAGTACTGAAGTAGTAGCAGCAATTATTCAAGTAAAAATATACACGCACACATTGAAATGAGAAATCTTAATGAAATTAGTATATTCTGCAAAGCATCATCATTGATAATGCATAGCAACGAAAAATTCAATAAACCAAAGTTTATCACATCATATCTGCTTGTTGACGAATTTTATTTGTTACAGTCCTTGATACTGCGTTCCATGCTTCAATATATCTATCCACACATTTTGCTAAACATTTCTGTTGCGAGTTGTCGAGACTCGAACCAGGAGATGAAACACACATTTTAAAACATTTTTCATTGACAGTTTGTAATAACATTTCTTGATGTTGTATGGCTGTTTGTCTCTTTATAAGCTGCACACTTTCCATTATTGTCTGTCGATCAAGTTTTTGTCCGCCGGCTCCTCCTGAAGATCCGAATGATGAAAAGCTATCCATTCTCTAATTCTTGAATATTTACGATGTACTTGTCTTAATATGCTGTAAATTATGAGATAGGATTTACATTATTATATTACATATTACCATTCCATGTCGGGTGTGGAATTAGTTAGCTATTTGTTTATCTGTTTATGGAGGCATGAACTTGATGGTGGAGGAAGCCGTAACCGACCTGCCGACCAGCGGTTACATGAACCACCCTACGATGGCAAGGAGTCCAGCAATCGCCTCGCACATAACCATCCCCGCATGGGATTCGAACCTGCGAACCCTCGCAGAGTAATCAGAGGTGCGGTGGCGAGCGTCTTCCTACCGCTAAGCACGATGAGCCACACTGTCGCGCCAATAAAAAGGTTCGAGGACAAGAAGGTTGAGGGAAATACTGAAATAGGACAGCGGGTGGACTTCACCCAAACCCCCCTGGAGGATAGGAAGGTTGAAAGAAAAATATGTACGATCAAATACCGCACCATAAGACTGCAAGACAGTCAAGACTCGAGATAATAGCGGCACGGTACCTTATCCTGTTATGTACTGAGGTACGGTAGCATAGTTAGTACCGTATTACTGCATTAGTATCAAAGCATTATCTGATAGATAAAGATAGTTTTTACCAGACCAATTAGTCTGCAGCTTAAGTTTTGCCAACGCAATAAAATAAGAGTTTCTTCATAATGTTGACATTGTCTTTCAGGCTTTCCGCTCCAAGGAAATAACTTGAGATCTCGCATAATGGCAAAATTAGGGGGCCAGCATTCAAAATGGCGGCGCCCATGTCTTGTGTTCATGTGGTTGGAGTCATATGCACCTATAACCGTAACCCTACTTGGTTGTGACAGCGACTTCTGTGGCATAAGACTGATAGATAGTTTATTTTGAAAACTCCACAAAACACAAACTAAAATGGAAAATCTTGGAGAGCAAGTTCAAAACATGAAAATTATCATGTGCCCGCTCAACAGCACACACACAAAAAAAAATACAAAAAACACAAACTCATAGTTAAACGAGACTTGTGCCAGAAATACACAAACAAAAATACGCGAATGAATTCAATTTTCGGGATGTTATACTATTAAAACACTTGAGCTGATAATGATCAATTCAATCTTATATATATATAGCATATGCAATAATTTAAATGTCTTGCAAGGATAGAAATATAAAATTCAATTTTCAAGCTGTATGAAATATATTACACCAATGACATTAAACAACATGATGCGCAACTCCGGCATTTTTGTCCGAAGATCGTATTCGATAGCACGCTCCAATGCACATACTTGACGAGACGAAAACGAGCGGATGTGTGCTGCTTTCAAGGCGTAGCACGAATGGTGTTCGTGCCTGCTTTGACAGTTGTTGTCGATTTTAATGATATTTTTGAAAGTTGGGGTAAAAAGAAATCGGTAAAAGGTAAGGTGAATACTATTGTTGTATATCACACCCGGGCATCGCACTGTTAGGTACATGTGTGAAAGCCAGCCTTTGTCAAATACTACGAAGTTATTAATTCAGTACGGTACGTAGTTGCCCATTTGCCGAAATTACATATTTACTTACCCCTTATGGTTTCAAATAGTTCATGCACCTCCAGTTAGATTTTTTTAATCAGTGAGGATATATACTCATTGTTGATTGCTGCTCATTGTAACATACTATTACGCATTCACTTTTATTTGCGTATTGAATCAAAGTGTTAACAAGTTCACCTAACATTTCACTCATACCGGTCTATATTGTATAGTCTGATTTCTCAAGTATTTGGAGCCACGAATGCTTGTAATTTTCTGACTAAAGCCTTTTATTAGTTGGTTTATATACCAAATTCAGTAAAATATTTTTTAAATAAAACATGAGATATTGGATTTATTAGCTTTTCCATTCTGAATCATATAGACTGCTTTATTTATTCTTAACGAAAATTAATAAATCTCCTCTCTTTCTTCAGATGTGAAAGTTGTGGACAAACCTGTCTAAGCATTGTGAGACTCTTGCAGCACAAGAGGCAATAGCAGAAATAGTAAGTATATCAATCAAGAAATTAAGCCGACATAAAGCAAAACTTTCAACTATTCGTCTAATCTCAATTTCCTATTATTTATTCACAGGACAACTATAGCAGACGGGGAGATATCAGAAGTCTGGCGACATATCAGTGACAGTGTGATTCCAAGAAATATAATGCATTGAAAATAGAAAATTGCAATAGAAAAACAACCTATGGAGGCATGCAAAGACATTTGACCCTCCGGTAGAGTTGTGTATGGCCCCCACATCCTGCAGGGCTTGGGGAAAATAACTAAAAATTTCCAAAGCGTAAGATTGCATAAGCGGTCTTATTTGTAAAAAGGCACAAAACACGCCAGACATACTTAAAACAGCTTTGGAAATGAGGATTACGGGTACCTCACTGCACCTGTGTTATATTTGGTTCATCAACTTTTGGTAGTACTATAGAAGAAATTCCGGAAGGGGTATAATCATCATTCATGATAAAATACTATCATATATTTTTTGAACAACTTCAATCTAGACCAGGGATCTCAAACTCGCGGCCCCAGAGAACTTCCAGTGCGGCCCTCGAACGTTTAACAATAATTGTAATAGTATTTTGGAAGTTTTTTTTTTTATCTAAATGTAATAGATTTTTCAAACCTTCTAAAGTGAAATTGATTATTCACACAGAAAACAATTTACTGAAAGTAGTTTTGGAATATTGATTTTTTTTGTCCACATTTTGACCCAATTAAGAATACACATCAAGCTAGCAAAAGAATACTTGAATAAAACACTTGAGTAATTAAATTAAACGCAAAGTACATGAAGAAGGTGGCATTTTCGAAGAAAATGGGAGTTGTAACATTTCTGCTCTTCACAAAATTCTGAAGCACATTGTTTAATTTGTCATATTTCCATCAATACAATCAAAAAACACAATAAGCTCAGCAGTCAATATGACAAATTCGAAGACCAACTTCGAACAGAAAATTTCCATGTGTTTGTATATTAATATAATTATACAACGACTTAGTTACTAAAAATCAATATCAATAATAATTCAAGCAATCCTATGCCACGCAATGTAGTGCGAAATGTCTTGTCGAAAAAATCTGTCATTTGTTTTTTTACTGATCTATACATGAAATGATAAAAGTAACTTTTTTGCATTACTGGAATTAATTAAACATTCGTAAAGATCCAGATAAACCCATGATCATGTGGCCTCGTTAGTTAGAGTTGGTACTATAAAATCATTTCAGACTGGCCTTAGTATGCTGGTGACACAAAAAAGATGCCAAACGCCAGGACAAATGTAATTATTAAAACATTGAGTTTATACTGTAGTATTTTTGTTAATTTTAGGTTCATATATTTAGATTAAGTTATTTTTAGTGTATGTATTATTCTTTCCTTATTCAAAGCTTGTTCAAAAATGATTTTGATGGTTGTACATAGAATTTTACGATTTTTTATAATAAATACTGTAACTTGCAAATGTTGCAATAATAGTGGAATGCAAATATTAATATGTAATTGCATTTGAAATTGAAGAAAATAATAAAACTTAATCCAACTGTTTAGTTGCATCACAATATATGTCACAAACTAAAACTATCTAAAAATATCTTTTAAGTATACATTATCAAAAACTGTTTGCGGCTCTTTTTACAATTTTCAAAATGCAATGCGGCTCTCGAAAACCCATGAGTTTGACACCACTGATCTATTCTAGACGATTCAAGCATTGCTTTGGGAAATTATATCACTTCAATTAAATTGAAATAATCTCGCTATATTAAATACAAAATCGTTGCTATCATAAAGGTAAACCAATTCAGCCACTCGAAATATATTGGCCTTCACAAAGCAATGGAGGCAAAATTGAGAGTTCATGAGCTATGAACATTTGTTCTTTTCTTTGTCTTGAACTTTCCATACTCCACAGCCCCTATTAATTTTTTTTAATTTTAATTACCATGTGATGGTCATACATATCTTTAACTTGTATTTTCTGTCATGATGTATTATCTCAATGTGCCAAACTATTAATTAGTGTGCATATTTTGCTTCCAGATGACATAAATGTATTGTCATGTTTATTACCTCAGCTTGGAGTATTGACAAGAAAAAGGTGCCAGTAAATTAGGTAAAAAAATTTTCAACTCATTGTTATAATCAGAATTCACAATCAATAGGAATTATAAACAGCCAACAATCAGTGAGAATTATATGCGAAATCCCTCAGAATAAATTTGTCTAAAATCGGAGGAAGGCAAAAAATATAGGTAGTTTCCATCCACACAAGCATTTCAAGAAGACTTGCTCGAGCCAAACTAAATGAGCATCGTCAGGTGATCGGTAAGGCTGCAAGTTGAATTCAGCCCTGCAACCTCCTGCATAGAAGATAATATTAATTAGTGGGCTATGAGCTAAATTCCTAAATTTAAACAAACCTATCTACGATGCATTATGTACCAGCAATGTTACCTACGATTAACTGAATTAATATGTCTAATAAATTCACCTACAAAAGCAAGTTCGATAGGTGCAAACTTTGTGTTATGGAATTGTATCGCAGCACAGTTTTGTATGACACCCTCTTTAAATGAAATTTCAATGATTAAGCGCAAACATTAAAATTACTAACTTTGAACTTTGTCATTATCTGCAAAATGTTCCACACAAATCTTTCCGCTATCGCGTTTGTAATCTTCTCTGATAAAAAAAAAACGTCTATGATGTCCAGAATTGCTCTTTACAGCTTGCCTGTTATTCCAGCTTTCCAAGCAAGCAAAACTTCTTAGATATAGAGATTATTTTGTTTCGTTACAGGCGCAAAAAGTCAGGTACTATACGTAAAAAACACGCCGAGTAGCAAGAGCGAGCGGAAAACGGACGCGAAAGGCGACGAGAAATATGTGCATTGGAGCGTATCATGAAATACAATGTTTTGCCTGTAGTCTTATGGAGTGACGTCAGAGTTGCCTATCATGTTGTTTAATGTCATTGATTACACTGATACAGTAATATACTACTGTTGTAGTCTTACAAAAATGTTTTACCACATCCATGGTTTTTCCCACATACTTCGGTATATGAATATTTTTATTCTGTTTAAATGCTTGATCCAATATGGCATCAGTCCGCACCTCACCCTTCATACTGTCATGCTTAGGAATATAGATATCCTGTTACTTGATACATATTTAGGCTATGATACATGTATAACATATAGCTGTAACAACGAAAAACTCCAATGATGATAAAAATGCCCTTGAAATGACCCGAATATCATTTAGACCCGCACGAAAATAAGTTTCATGAAAGGAAACATTGCTCTCCAAAAATCTCGGAATCTTACTGAAATAAATCGCATTTTATTACACGAATGTCACGGATGATTTTGTAGACATGATGGTGCTTCGGAATCGGTTCTTGAATATGAAAAAAAGATTATCTGGTCGACTAGTACAAAATAAAAAAGCAGTGTTAAAATTTGTCGTGATAGATTCTCCACTACCATATTCTATTACTCATTTCTCATGTTGATGGTTTATTCACAATTCATATCAATTCACTGTAATGGTTTCTTTCTGATAACGAAATTTCGAAGTTAAAATTGCATTTATTGTTGCGACTGAATGTTTTCCTGATACCTACTGTAATGCGAACAAGTTATTTGAGCCTAGTAGATAAAATTGGATTTCATATTCATTCCGTGGAAGAGGAAAGTGATAAAACGGCTAAACGATATTGTGAACCACGGACTCTCGCCCAGTCTACCAGTCTATGTCGGGTATGGGATCAGATATCCTGTATATTTGTTTTCCGATTCATGGACTTGATGGCGGAAGACAAACCAACGGTTACGGAAATCAACCCTTCGGCGCCGACGAGTCCAGCAATCCTCTCCCATATAATTATTCCCCACGGAATACCGTTTCATATAGAATATCAATGTGAACTCAAAAACTCAATGTGAAATTGAGCTGAAGGCCAAAAAGATTCAAAATCAATTTCAATTATTTGCTATCGTAATTTTTATTTTCAAATTTTCATTTCCCGATCTCATAGATCATCTTTCGTATTATTAGAGGTCAATACTCGTGATATATATGCCAGGACACTGACTTCGCGGTCCACACCGTTTTAAAATTCGTGTTAGTCAAAGGACAAAAATTACTAAAAAAAACGGACCTCTGCGGAAAATTGGTTTGAATCTCAAAATTGTAAAATAAAATGGTTCGAACAAGGATAATATTTGCCAGATTATACTAAATTCTGAACAAACACGAAACTAGAGAAATTAAATACAACTTAATACTTGAATATCTGAGCAGAGACCAAGACTAGAATACCTGACCAATTGAGTATTGTTTCATTTTTTAGTAGTATCCAAAAGGAAGATCGCTCACTTGGAAGATCATTATGATTCACCACATAGTGAAACACAGAGAAGCAGGGAGTCATATTGCAATATTAAAAATGGTAGGCTACTATGAGGAAGTATGGCGAAAAGGTTGAACCTGTCCTTATTTCAAATTGAATTGCTTCTATTATCTGAGGGAAGTTCTGTACACCCGAGCACAACATGTGGGAAAGGAAGGATAGCGCTTTTGATCCACGAATTACTATATCGTCCATGGCTAGGCATTAAGAAGTAAGGAAACACAATGAACTCCCAGTCGTGACCAAAATCTGATATACTTACGCATCTGAAGCTTTCCATGCGCCAATTTGTGTTACATAAGTGATAGTGAAATACGATTGATTTAACTTATTTAATGACAAGAATGTTAAATCGAATAAAACGTCTTCCTCTTCTAAAGACATTTTCCTATTTCTAGATTGGACCAGCTTCAATAAGCACTCGAAAATGAGATAAGATTTCATTTATTGCCGAAACACGAATGGCGATTTCGCTTCTGAAAAATATTTTCTGTATTGGGTATTTTTTCTTTGTGAAGTCCCTCCAAGTAATTTAACATTTTCAACTCCAAAATTTACATCTCTCTGCATTCCGCTGCTTTTCACTAGTTTCTGGAATTTTGGGTCATAGAGGTTTGAATGTACGTCAAGTAGAGTAAACTTATGATTGTGTAATTTTTCACGTTTCGAAAATATTGACCCTCTTGCGTGTGATCCAGTTCCGCTATTTAAAAAATTTGAAATGTCCTTGTCTTGATGCTTAGGAAAATGTGCTGTCTCTTTATTACCAACAGGTTGTATTAGCAAACCTAACCCTCTGGATTTATTTTTTCCCGCTTTTGCTTTGCCTCTTTTGACAGGCGTAGAAAAGCTTGTGGGGCCGACTGGATGTGCCAATTTGACACCGGTGTGATATTGACTTTTTAGAAGACCTGTTTGGGTTTGCTCTGGAGGATGATGATATTCAGAGCCGTGTCCGCGAGTATACTCATCCGATGGCTTTCCCTCATAATTCCATAAAAACCCTGACAATATCCTCTTAGCTTTTGTATGATTTTCCTCAAAGGATTCTACTCTACTGATTGAAGTCAATGATTCATCTGGTTTTTTCTTGAATGAAGAGAGTATAATCGACGTGTGATTATGTGGGAAAATCTTAGTTCTTTCTTGTGATGCTCTTGACTTTGCCTTCACCTTAATATTTTTAACTTTGTTGGCAATATTCTCACTGATTGCTTGAAACACCGAGTCGTTCGTACTTTTTTTAGCAATACTGTGAAGATTTTTATAAGTTTCATGTTGCTTATCAATTTCAGTTTCGTATATCTTATTAGTCTCTTTCATTAAATTGAAAATAGTCTCCTCAATATATCTCATTTTGCAATTTGCCTTCTCTAACGAATCCATATCTTGCCATTCTTTTGAATGCTCTGAACAACTCGCATCTTTCTGTTTCTTTCCCATTTCGAGCTCTAATTTTTCCATCTCTTCTTCTGGGATGCATTGTTTTAAGCAATCGTTTACCTCTGACATCATTCCAGCCTGATTATTTACCGCATTTTTGACGTTACTGACATAAGTCGCGACTCTTGACGTCATTTCCTGCAAATGACAATCGATAGATCGAGCACTGTCTAACTTTTTTAATTCAATTCTGTCAGGTATTTCTCCTTGAAGCATTTGTTCAATAACCTTTTCCATTTGACTCTCTTGAGCAGCTTCAGACTCGGTTTCGTAAAATCTCTGAGTCTTTGTTGGAGAGCCTGAATACATCCTCATTATGTCACTTTGAAGCGATAAACCTTTATTAAGTTCAAAGATGTCATCTCTCTCCAATGCAGAAAATTTGAGGGCTACTTCCACCCAGTCTGGGCCAATTTTCTCTGACAACATCTGACACGTTTTGGCTAAATCTTCTCTTACAGATAATGTCATAAATTGCAGTAAAGCTGGAGGTGATGTCTGACAACCTACACTATCTCCGACAATTTGACGTGGCAGTGGGGCATCCCCAATGGCAACATTCGGTGCCTTGTATATTTTTTGTACGTAAGATTCCGTCGTTTGTGTTTCTTGCGATGCTAATTTTTGAGACATTTTTCTTGCTGTTATAATATGCTCGCCGCTCTGGTGGCTATCATTCGTGTCTGAATTGGGCCTATTTCTGTTTTTAGTTTTGTATAATTTATCCCTCAAACTCTCAATTTCTTCTTTGAGAGAAGCAATTAAATTTTCTTGTGACGATTGCACAAATGAATGTGTTGATGAAATCAAGCTTTTTGAACTGTTCTGGCTCATACAATTACGCTGCATTGACCTGCTGCCAGCTTCAGAAATTGAATGATGAAAGCTCATGTCCGAATGCAGGGACACGCTCGACTGTTTTCTCAACGATTGTTTTAGGCGATTGGTTTGCTGACTCAATTCATTTATTTTATTGTTTTTCTCTTCTAAGGTTTTACCCAAAACTACGAGATTCTGCTTAGCGTGCTTCAAACTTTTTTCTATATCTGCAAGAGCATCTTCGTGCTCGGCTCTCGTTACAATTTCTCCTGTTTTCAATGATTTTTCTAAATTATTTATTCTATGTTTCAACTGAGATATTTCCTTTTTCAATTTTCTGATTGAATCCCTCGCCTCATTTCGTTCATCTGCGGTCATAATCAATTCGTTGTGAAGTTTTTCGTAGTCTTCCGCCCATTTATCCAGCATCTCTTTCTGACCATCAGATATTTTTTGCAGAGAATTTAATTCTCCCTTTTTCTTATCCAATTCTCTCAAAATCATATGGAGTTGTTCTTCAAACTGGTGCGCATGAGCCATGCCTTCTAATTTCGTTTTTTGTATAAGATCGTAGATTTCTGTAGCTGCATTTTTGATGTAGGCAAATTCTCGATGACTTTCAGTTTTTCCATTTTTCTTTTGCTCTTGCAAACGCATTACTTCATTTCTCATTTGTAATTGTAAATTTTGCCTCTGGCGTTCCAAATGGTGAGTATCGTTTCCCGTAGTTTTGAGATTGCGAATTTTTTGTTTAAGAAATTTCAATTTATCCATTCTTTCTGCCACTTGTGACAACCCAGCACTGACAACTTCGTTATCTAGAACGTCCAGAACGGGGGAATGTGGTTCGTCGTCGTCGTCGGTTTCATCAAAACGGTCACGTTCAATCCAATCCTGTAAGGATTGAAGGGCATCGTTTGTTTTTTCAGGCAATTTGACTGTACTCATTTTACCAATATTACTCTCATCACAATATCTTTGTATCTTTTTGAAGCGACCTATTAATGCCGATATATTGATTCGCATCATGTCATCTTCTATGTCAGCAAGACCTTCTTCAATTTCGTTGAGCAATTCTTCATCTTCAGAATCTTTACCATCACTAGGTGCATCATAGTTTGTCATTACTTTATTGATTCTTTCTTTTATCTCGTTAATTTTCCCCAGTCTTACTGCCACACTTGGCCTGCGAACGTGCTGTCCGTACTTGATGTGGTCTAATGATACGGCATCGTTTGCTATGAAGGGTGCCGTCAGATGTTTTCCGCCACGAGAAGATCGTCTTCTCATTAAATGTTCGGTAGCTATGATAGATCCTCTACGCGTTCTTGGATCAATCATTTTTGGGCTGTTGAATTCTGGTAATTTGTGTCTAGCGTTAGACGTCTTTGAATCCCTTTTTTCAATTATTGATTTTTGTCTAACAACCGAAGGAAGTCTTTTCACTTTTTTACCTTGTTTTTGCTCTGCATATTCGTGACCTATCCTCCACATTCTGAAATATATCTTGTACCGCCCTGAACTTCTAACAAGTGATGAATATTTCCAGAAAATTCAAATATCCCTATTGCAACTTGTGAAAATATTACTATTATATATCTATATTTGTAAAAAAATTGGCATAATGCTGTCATTATGACGTAATAACTTGATTTCGCAGTGGTATAATGCAGGGGTGTCAAACTTGCGGCCCAATAGAACTTTCAATGCGGCCCTCGAACGCCTAACAATAATTCTAAAAAGTTTTTTCTTATCTAAGTGGAATACATTTTTCAAACCTTTTGAAGTGAAATTACTTATTCACACAGAAAACGACAATTTATTGAAAGTATTTTTAGAAAATTGAATTTTTTTGTTTTCAATCTGACCCAATTATGGATACACCTCAAGCTAGCAAAAAAAAAACTTCAGGGATTGAATGAAACGCAAACTACATGAAGAAGGTGGCATTTTTGAAGAAAATGGGAGTTGCAATATTTCTGCATTTCTCAGAATTCTGAAGCACATCGTTTAATTTGCCACATTTCCATAAGTACAATGAAAGAATACAATATAAGTAGACATTATCAGAAAAAGCTCAGCAGTCAATATGACAAATTTAAAGATCAACTTCGAACAGCAAATTTTTATGTGTTTGTATATTATTATAATTATACAATAGTTACAAAAAATCAATATCAATCACAACTCAGGCGGTCCTATGCCACGTAATGGTAGGAAATGTCGCGAAATGTCTGGTCCAAAAAGTCAGTCATTTGTTTGTTTACTGATCCATACAAGAAATGATAAACGTAATATTTTTTCATTACTGAAATTAATCGAAACTTCTCAACAATCCAGATTAACCGATGATCATGTCACCTCGTTAATTAGAGTTGGTACTGTAAAATCATTTCAGACTGATATTAGTAAGCTGGTGGCACAAAAAAGATGCCAAACGTCAGGACATATGAAATGAAAAAAAAAAGTGTAGGTGTATATGGCATTTGAAATTTAAGAAAATAACAAAACTTCATTCGGCTGTTTATTTAAGTCACAAATCACAATATATGTCACAAACTACACCATCTAAAAATATGCTTCAAGTATACATTATCAATAACTGTTTGTGGCCCTTTGCACAATTCCCAAAATGCAATGCGGCCCTCGAGAACCCACGAGTTTGACACCCCTGGTATAATGGACGCTCTAGAAATTGCTCTCGGTCAAACGTAAATGGATCGTTCTTTTATTAGCGCTATTAACTTTGCATCTTAGCCTATTGTTAACGCATGCCATGAAAAATATTTAATTGTTTGGCAAACTGTGTAACAGCTGTTTCCATGTTTACAATCTGAACGGACACAAATATTTAAAATTTGGTTTTATATAGAACAGGAACGTACCATATGGTATCTGAAATGGCTCAAGATAACGAGATTATGGTTCGACGATATATATAGGACGCAGCTGAAGAGCTCTTCGCAGAGAGTTCTACTACTAGTTCTTGCGCTTGATAATTTTTCTCACCTTGGGTAATTTTATTCAAAATAAAATCGCATGTGAATATTGATACAAGTGATAATGTCAGGCTTGAGGATCGTAATCACAATTCACTTGAAATGTTGGATTTTTGGTTATATAAGTGTTTCCAGTGAATACATTGAACAAATATATATCAAAAATTTAATTATCCCAGCATTCAGCTTTCCAGGTATAAAGATAAAATAAATAGCGTAAAATATAAAATTTATATGTTTGTCGAAGACCGTCGGAACGATTATGTAAATTATAAATATCTAACATAATACAAATGTACATTTCGCAAAGAATGACGGAATTACACTTTTTATGGGCATCTGTACGGTCAGTTACGGCGACCAGATGTCGACTGTGTTTGGGATTGAAAAAGGAATAGTAACAATTATTACAAACGGTACAACGAACTTTAGAAAGATCTTTCTGTGGTTTCATCGCAGTTTTTGGTGGATAATTCAAGATGTTGACAATAATATCAACAATGTGCTTGATTACTAGCTTTGGCTTCGCGCAAGAAACAACATATGACCAGATATTGAATTTACGACAGTCGCACTCCCACATTTTGGAAGAATATACCAACGAGCGAGGTCAATCGCATCAGCAATCCGCTAAAATTGAAGGTAACCAGTAGGCCTAACTCGATAGTATCATATTCAATATAAAAATTCTCTTACTAAATTTGTACCCTTTTTCAGAAATCGTGACAAATTTCCCTCGTGTAACTACATCATCCGGCATTGTCACTGGCGCTTCAACAAGTGAGACTCATTCATTCTGGCAAATTCCGTATGCACAAGCGCCCGTGGGTGACTTAAGGTTAGTAGTATTTACATCCGCCCCAATCAATAAAACTGAATATGAATTCATTTGTTTTTGATTTTTTAGATTCCAGCCACCCGAGCCTGTCGTGACGCCCTTAAAGCACATAAACGGTACAAAAAATAATTTTCTACAGTGTTACCAATACGATGTAAATTGTGCCACGGTTCCACCCAAACTGTGTAAACTAAACGTAAGTAGTCTATTTATGTTGACCGTTGAATACGGAAATATTTTTCAATTCGAACGACTAACTAGTTACAACTTCTTGTTGGACATAAAATGTGGTTATGGATTGTTTTGTTATTATGTTGTTGATGTTAGTATTCTTCTTTTTCTCCTACTTGTTGCGAAAAACGCCTTTTTCTTCTAGTACTGGACAAGTTTCTTTCAAATTTCTTGTTGTTGTCTTTAGACTTTAATGTACCGGTATTTATAAAAAAAATTTGGATTTTATGAGATTCGATTTTTCACTTCGAAGTTTCATGTGAGTCAATCAAAAATTACTTGCGGCGGTTTCGCGATCGCATGTCAGCGATCCCTGGTCAGGGGAAACGAGAGTGTTTGAATAAGCTGAACTACTATCGGTACTGTAAAAGATTTGATACTACAGTAGTAACTCGAATCAACTGATATTTCGATTCACCTCGAGATTAGATGCATGAATCATTATCGTCACGGGACCTGGGAAAGACAGTTTGGGTACCGGTACTGAAAAGTTTCGGTAGCTGTTCCTCTGTTTCAGATTTGTTAAGGATTTGATTTTGTGAAAATTGTGGGCACAGTATTTTGTTGCTTCCGTGCTCAAATATTTGAGCATTCATTTCTTGTTTTTAAGATGAAGGAAGATTGCTTGGTACTCAACGTGTTTTCTCCGGCTAGCGTTAACTTGTCGAATGCGGCAACTGCTTCTACTCAAAGTCTACCAGTACTATTTTATATTCACGGGGTTTTTTTCAAACTAAATTCCGGAAATCATCCTCGAATAGATGGAAGAGAACTCGCAAATTTCACAATCACTGTCGTAATAACAATCAATTATCGCTTGGGTAAGCAAGGTATATTCTACCACTGAAAGGTCTTCACAGATAAACCGCATAGACCCGTAAGACATATTAAGTAAAAGTTTTTATATATACCCTTGATTGACGTAATAATATATTTATATATTTGCATTTAGCAAAGGCTCAAATATGTTAAGGAAAATTGAATAAAGCTGTCACGAGCAGTATCTGTAACCTAAGAGAAATGTATCGCTCTGCTGTAGATATATTGTCAGTGGCATCCAACAAATGAGGATTTAAAATCAGTAAACATGCAAGTGTTTTTAAAAGTAAAAACGGAAAAGCATATTTCTGTAACCTTGGCCTCGTAAATTTTAGGACCCTTTGGATTTCTGACGCACCGACAAACAGGAGTGAACGAAATGAAAGGAAACCAAGGACTGAAAGATCAACAACTTGCTCTGAAATGGGTACAAGATAATATTTCAAATTTTGGAGGAGATAAAACAAGGGTACAGATAAGTATATATATTTTATAGAGGTTTACAAATAACCAAAAAATTTGACAGATGCCACTTTTTATATTAAATAAAAAGCGTACTATTTTTTTTAAATATGCTGATGATATTTACTCAGATTATAGATCGACGGCAGGGGTGGCCAACCTGCTTTCGACCGCGATCGTCTAATATCTTCAAAATAGCTCGCGATCGACTGATCGGTTATAAGATCATAAACAAAAATGAATAAATACTGAACACGCAGATAACTGCAGACACGCATACAAAAATTCCACCGCTGCCAATAATCTCGGCTCTGAGGGCGCATTCTCAAAAACAAATTTTATATTCCATTCAATTTGTTAATCTGATTATGTAATTGTACCCGGAGTAAATGTTTGATATTTTTTTATTTATTTATTTATTTTAGATTTATTCAAACCATACAATTCAAATCTAGGGCCTGTCTAATTTTTAGTCGTAAGTGTTTTCAATTCATAAAAAAACTTTGAAAAGTACCCTTTGAAAATTGAATATCCCCAAACCATAAATGTTACATGACTGCTAAAACTTCAGCATCTAATTTACAATTTTCTTCAAGTCCGATTCTTTGCCCGCTCGAAATTAGAAAAATATTGGGCATTCTGATGCCACTGCTACCGTTGCGAATAAAATTTATCACACTATACTCTTGGAGTAAGACAACCACTTTCGCACAGTGCAGAAATTGTTGTAGGATCGTTTGCCAGTCAAGACGCACGAGTTTGTTTCTAAAAATTTGCAGTAGTGAAACTAGCATTTGTTACGTAATATTATGCTCTATCGAGCTTTTCCATACCCAATTACTACATGTGTATATCGTATTTTATTGTACAATACTCTATTCTTCCTGTTTTAACACAACAACAGGCGCTTTATGAAACTGGTTCAAGGTGTTTGGTTTGAGGTATGTTATTAAATTTACTCAACATCACACGCGATCGACCGGTCGATCGCGATCGACGTGTTGGCCACCCCTGGTCTACGGTATCCAGTCATGTTAAATGATCAGTTTTGCATTACGGCACGTTGACAACGATGGACGTTCAAGGACGTTTACTGTTGTACACAAGAACGATCAATACATGAACGAAATGAAGCCAAATTAGCCACGAGCAAATCTTAAAGTACAAAATATAATGTGGCTAGTTACATCTTAAAACAAAGTGACTAAATTAGTATGGGAAAATGACGTATGTTTATTCAAACATTAGGTTCGAATCTATTCAAAGACTAATCCCGAATTAAAAAAAACTCTGATTCTACACTGCTGTGGATGACAACAGATTCCACTTGGTATCTCACGAGAATCTGTAAATGACTCATATATATCTTATGTAAATTTTAATTTTGTTCCAGGTGACAATATTTGGTAACAGCGCCGGTGCACAATCGGTTATGTTTCACACACTTTCCGGTGTCAGCAAAAATTTGTTTCGTAATTCAATTCAACAAAGCAACCCGGCTATATTTTCATTTGTCTATCCTTCCATCGATGAATCGCTCCGAATAACCGACAGACTATTGCAGAACCTCGATTGCTTTGGAAGCGAAAGAGAATGTTTGATGTGAGATGCATAAACATGACTGGTCAATTGATAAGCTAGAAAGATTATTTATAAATACTGACTTTTTAACAGTAGTTTTCGGCATTTATTACTAATTACTTTATTATACGGTATAAAATTCAAACACTTTGATAAATCGATAATTTTATGCAATCACAGGAATTCGTCTCCAGAAACCATTGTCAATCAGACAGCCAAAGTTGAATTTCTAACATATTTTGAGGAAGAACTCTTTATGTATATAGCAGAAACCTATCTTCCAGTTATTGACGAAGTAGAGTTTGTCGATCAGCCTATATCTTTATATCGAGATGGAAAGTGGAACAAACACCAAAATATGATTATTGGTATCAACACGCAGGAATCTGAATATCAGGCGGGTGTTTCCCAAGAAATTGTATACGATGAGCAGTTTTTTATGGTAAACCTTCTAATGATTTAGATATCTTTATTTTATATTTTTCACTGTTTGAACATGTTTTAATATGCACGAAGGTAATGGTAACCAAACAATTCCTACCACATAGTTTGGTCAGGTGGTGGATTAAAAATCTATGTGCAATTAGTACGGAATAACGATAGTGGATTTATAATGAATACAGGTTCAAGGTATGTATCGCGAAATATTCAATCAAAATCCAATGCATCCGCTAAAATTATCGTGTTTTGAGCTGTTGCCTGTGATAATAAATTATATAAAAGTATAATAAAAGTACCGCGGAAAACGTGTGTATTTAACAAAATTAAAAACATTACAATGCTAATGTCAAAACCATTTCCATTAAATCAGATCGCAGCCTTTCATTTCGGAGTTTTGCCCAACATCGTCGATTTGTTATGTGTGACCAATTTGCCTATTTGATACTCGCTTTACCGCCAAGGTCTGAAATTATTCCCGTTAATCTGCGAGTGCTTAGTCATACTAAAAATTTACGATCTTCACGAGTAAATGTGTATGAAATGACTACAAGAAGCTCTGATTAGATGGGGAAAGTGTATCTCCAATATTCTCTCCAATTTTTACTACATTTTGAACACGAAGTGGATCTATGGATCGTTTTGCTAAATTGTTGTTATTGTTGTTGCTGTTAGTATTCTTCTTGGTATTCTTTTTGGACACGAAATGGACCTATGGATCGTTTTGTTAAATTGATGTTGTTTAGAATTCTTTTTCGGAGATACCGATACGATAGACTAGGCTAAGTAAAGTAGCTAAGGTAAACGATTTGATACTGCAGTTGTGACTCGAATCATTCGGTAATTCGATTCATGTTGAGACTAGACGCATGAATCATCATCACGGTAGCTGTTTCACAGTTTCAGCTTCTTTCAGAATATGACTTTTGGGGAAATCGTGGGTGAAATATTTATTCAAATTTTTTGTCAGTCGGTTCCTTCACAAAGTCATATTTTTCAGCCGGTTCTGCTACAAGCAAAACATTGAAAGTAACCAGTAATGCTAACCGGTTTGCTGATCTCACAAAATTCCGTGAGACGGTTCTATAGAAGCGGTGCGAACCGGCTGAATCCCACCACTGCTTGCCCGCGAGCGACTAAAGGTTGCCGACCCCTGCTGTGGAAGATTTAATACTACTTCGTTTTGGTCTTCGTATCCTTATATTTGAACATTGCTCCCATGATTTTTTGTTGCTTTTGCTAGCATTAGCATATTGTGAAATTTGTGACAGGTCGATTTGTTAAGAATCCCACCAAGTCCATTATGCAGCGCACTGAACATTTTATATTTCCATACGCGAAATATTTTCAAATTTTAGCTTGCTACTAAAGCTTTGTTTGGTGGCGACATTGCTCCATCCGTTGTTGAAAAGTATAAGGAATTATACCCATTGAAAGAAGATGAAGACTTCCGAGTAACCTTTGGAAAACTTCTCACGGATTACACCCTTGTCTGTCCTAGTTTGCTGATGGCAAAGTAAGATAAACAAATCATCTATTTTGCAGGCTATAGCAACTTTACATTTTGTTATTGTTATTCAATTCGTCTATATCAATTTGTTCGTTTTTAACTTTTACCATATTCTCGTGGCAACTGTAGTTAAGTAATGAAGTCGCAGTAGCCAATTTAGTAACAAGGTTTTTCAAAATTTGTTCAAAAATTATTCATTTTGTTTTCAATTTTAAAAAATCCGATAATTGAGCTGAATCACCTTTTCATACTAATGAGGACGATAGTAAGAACCTGCTGTTAATGTAGATACGAAAGCTCGTCGATTTGAAATGGCGATCTTAATCAAGGAGTACATGCGGTTTACCCTAAGATCTAGCGTGGCTGAACTAACCAGCGCTAAACTAGAAAACTCTTAATCTGCAATGACTAGAACATGATTTTCAATGATTTAAACTCACGATTTGCAATTTTTGTGTTTAGATATGCAGCAAATACTTCCGACAATTCCTCAGTTTATTTCTACGCAAATAATCAAAAAGTTTTGCTGGATACGTGCGTTACTGCTAATGATGGCAATAAAACAGGGTGTTATTACTCGTTCCATGCATCAGAATTGGAATACGTCTTTCGTACTTACGAAGAAGTTCGGTAAGTGTCCTATAGTCTACTATGTTAATATTAATGTATGCATGCGATAAAGTAGTCGTAATTATTTCTGATATTCGGTAATTTTCTATACTCACCGTCACCGACCGGAAACAGCGTTGTAGATGTCGTTTCTTAAAGTCAAGTCAAGTTTATTTTTCCAACCAATAAAAAAATTCGTACAAAAAGTACGAGAAAATTATATTCCCAGTTTTACAGAGGAATGAGCACCTAGGTTCTACTATCTAATTTAACATATTGGGAATTTTAGAGTTTCAAAATTACTGTCATTGATGTTGAGTGCCATACGAATTTTGCGATTTATCTACCAACTAATATCGATTACTATAGATATTAGTGTCTCTCAATGAGCTATTAAACCAACGAATGACCGGGGGATCCATTTTGAAATTTTAAGAACTGCCGACTTCACTGCTGAAGATGAATTAGTTGCAGATCAATTTAGTGCATTTTGGGGTAGTTTCTCCAGAACCGGAAATCCTTCAAATGACTCGATGAAATATAATGATAGTTTTTCCCTCTGGCCCGAATTCAAATACAGTAAAGGTGAGAAAAGACGTAAATTCCTGCATAGTATATTTTCGATCAAAATCTTGTGCATCTATCTTATAGATATGCTATATTTATTTATATATAATATGTTATTACTCTAATAGCTTGTTGAGAAAACAAATAATTTCTATAGACTTCTTCAATAGAATATGCTACATTTTGCAGACTGGAATTACCTGCTTATAAATACAGCGAGCGAGGTAAAACAAAAATACAAAGAAAGTATTTGTAATTTTTGGGATGAAACTGGCTACGTGCACAGAAAAACTGCTGAATTTACCACTGGATCGATGTCGATCACAAGTGATCAACAGCTTACTACGGACACCGGGGTACTTATTCAAGTAAACATTTGGCAAGTTATTATCAGTGTATTAATCTCAATTATTGGTTCCAAATTCTAAGTGCTCGTGACTCTCAACACGCCAAAATATGATGCTAGTATGACGTAATGCTTTGTGAATAGATCACTGAAATTCTTAAATGATTTTGTTTATATGCCAAAACATATTTTATTGGAATAATTATAGATGAACCACTATTCACATTTTATATCAACAGTTTTCGACCTCATCGGAAAGCGCTTCTGTTGACAATAAACTAATTAATGAAAAAACGAATTCAACACTAGTAATCTTAAAATACTGTTATATTTCTGGCTCTTTCGTTATCAATATAAGTCGAAACATTAGAACAGAAAACAGATCCAATTAACACTGTTTCGCCGAAAGTACAGTTATTCTATTCTGTTGTAGCCGGTAAATAAAAATATATGCACGATTCGGTTTCATAATTTTTTATTGCTATTAAATCAAGTTCTGACAGAAGCATTTACAGAGTCATCAAAAAAATTCTTGAGATTATCTTGTTAGTACAGTGATTTATATTATGTAAAATAAAGTACAAAACATTTGTTGAATCTGAACAAGTTTGGGAAATGTTCTTGGATACTGAAGAAGTAATGTACTTTATATGGTCAGAAGCGCTACTTTTCTTTTTCTAATGTATATTAGAAATCGCCACACTACACTTTTAATTGCAAAATAGAATCTTGGATATTCAGCTGCAATACTTGTTTATGAGGCGAGGTATGACAACCACGCTGATAAAACAGGTTGCTTATAAAAATCAACGTTCGTATGAGTATTTCCCAAAAGAAAAATGACTGTCTATTTCTGACTCAAAACGGATAATTTGTAATTCTATACATTGAAGTACAAAAACAAAAATGAAGCAATCAACAACAATTTGTGCATTATTTTACCATTTTCGCCACTACTGGTAGTCGGGGCAGATGGTGATGTTGATGCTACTTCGGTAGCGTATGGTATTTCAGAACCCTCATCTTTTACACCATACTTAATGCTGTCCCAGAAGTCGCAAATCTCTTCCAAATACTCATTTTGTATAGTGCTTCTGGGGGCTTGTATCATAAGGTGTAGCCAGCTCTTACTCGGATCTGTATTATTTCAATAATCATAAATTATTTAACTACAAATCAAATGCTTTACCTAAAATTTGTGTAATGCAGAGCCTTGGTTTCCAGAGTATGTAACTTTTACATACTCTAAAACTCAAAACACAACAACAACTGAACGCAACCATGTTTTAGCTAAGTAAAATTGCCAGGTATGCTTATACATGTGAGCTATTTAAGTTAGTTACGTCGTATGTTTTAGATTTAGAAGATATTTTTATGCTCTGTGATATCTTCGCAAATATATATATTTATATATATATATGTAAACTTCAATCCGTGAATTTTGCTGAATTTATGACCCTTTTTTTATTATTTCTTTCTTATACGCACCCTTGTCATTTTTATATTCTGGCCAAATCGGTAAATCGTCAATATAAGTATTCAACTTAGATGAAGGATTCCCGGTGTGGGCAAAGTTTCCCCAATAAGTACTATACAGGTTTTCAATCAGCAAATCATCAGCAGTGTAGTTGTCGTTTCTAAATAAAAATTGCATTTCAGGAAACCTTAAAACACAAACAGTAAATTCAAAGTGTATTTTGTGTAATAATATATCTCTAAATTGTCGATATTCTGTAAGATATTCCATATTGCAAAATTGTGTTGGATACGGATGTATTCACAAAAAAATGTTGCGTTTCTATTTCAATTCGTGAGAGATGCATCCTTGTGAAAATTAGGTCTAGACTTTCGGCCCACGTTTTTAACAGGAAGTTTCTGGTGAGACCACTGACGTGAAATGGCATGTCTGCAAACTTGATGTACATTCAAAATCCCATCCGTTCCACACGATAGATCGTAATCATTTCCACCTACCGAACTTTTTCGAACGTCCTGAATATGTATTCAATCTCGCTTGCATGGAAGGCAAAGTAGCACTTTGATTTATTTCCATCTCTTGCGAAGCATTGATCATCAAGTATTTTACGGTCATTCACATAAAAATAAACTGAGGAAGATGTGGTGTTGGACGCTAGTCTGAAATTACATGATATATATACTATATATAATATAGTATGAATATATATAAAAGATAAATTAATTGAATCATGGAGTGAGGCAGTAATTGAAGAAGCTATATTGACAGACATGTACCTCAAAGTATGAAAAACGTTTTAAATATTTTGCTAAATTCATTTATTATTTTGAATCGACAGTACGACTGATCGCAAGAATTAAACGTGCAAATGAATACTGGAGTTGAGTATTGATTTTGACACCGATTGAATCCCAAGATGAAGAAATCAGCTAAAATGAAATAAATTGACACGAGTGGTTTTAATATAAAATTGTTGTGTCATTGTTGTTTCTTTAGCATGAACTGCAGATATTTCTGTACCAAATGTATCACGAATAACCGGATTACCTTGCCAATAATCTGCTGGGGCAATTGAAATAATAGTGAGAGTATATTTTCCAAAATATCTTATTCATGTCATCGGCTTCATCCAAATTATACGTAGTTGCGTATTTTTCTCCAATTTTGCTTGCTGTTTCCTCGTCGAACCACGGTTTCATAAAATCCTGTGTGGTAAAGCAACACCCGTGAACAAAAAGTTTGAAATTGAAAACACTATTATTGTAATTTAATTTATTGTAATTGTAACACTATTATCGACTACTGTCTTCAAGAATATATCTGTGCCTATTTAAATTTCAACGAAATATCACCTTGCTTCTGCATAAGGGTCCTGGTGAATAACGATCATAAATTAACCAATGATCACAAGGTTCATCAATGTTGGTGAACGTAATCATCAACCCCACTCACCCTCCCAATTTCTCCATTTACCCAACTCTACCTTCTTTACCGCCTATTGAAGATTTATTTTAAAAAGTGTGAGGTTTTTACATATATATATATATATAGGATTCGTGTGTAACTTTTGTCATCAATAAATATACCCACTCAAATCCTTCTAATATCCACCGGGACTAGATAATGAATAACATCCCCTAACATCCTCTCCGAGCGTAATGTCACTGTGATGGTTCTAATGGCCTGGTCACACTACTCATTTTAATTAGGCATTTAATGGAATCATGTCTTAATATATTTATATATGTTAATAATTTATACTTACAAAAAAAGTTTCCACATCCATTACGAAACCATATGGGTAGCTATATTCAATATTTTCAAATTCTTGCGTACTAACTCCTATAATCATGTGTTTATCACTGTTCCATTTGCCATCACGATATAGAGCTACCGGTTGATCGGCAAACTCGACTCCGTCCACCACAGGCTGATACGCTTCAGACAAATATAGGCCAATTCCTTCGTCCTTGTAAGTCATTGTCTCGACCTCACTTGTTTTCTCCACGATAGCTTCTGCTGTAGAATCTCTGCAACAAATGGTAATTTTTTTTATATACTTTAACTTTGCAATATTTTCTAAACACGGGAACACGCAACACTGGTATTTACAAAACGGGTGACGAAATAAACATGACCTGTATCTCAACAATAAAATATGATTTGTATCACGTTTGAATTTTCACACCAAAAGCGGAAAGATACTTAAAATTATCAAGAAACTTTGTTAGTTTGTGTTTCAACTCACATCAAACATTTTCTTTGATTTCCGGTGCAACTAAGCTTTTGTAAAAGTTTATCCGTTACACGTGAGGCAATCTTCATTGTTGGAGCATAAAACGACATGATTCCTGGATTGCTTTGTTGAATAGAGTTGCTAAACAGATTTCTACTAACGTTAGAGAGTGTATGAAACATCACAGACTGTGCACCAGCGCTGTTACCGAATATTGTCACCTGTTAAAGTATTAACGAAGTAAATACCTAAAGCTCATCGCTAACGGCAGTATCTGACAGACCAATCTAAACAAAAAAACGAAGAGTGAGGTTGCATGATCAATTAAGTAAAATAAAATAATAATCAAGCTACATGGTAAAATAAGTAAATGAAAAAAAAATGGCACTTCGCAAACAGCTAATTACTTATCGATCTTAAGATCGGTAAGTATATTGATAGGTATTTGTCTGTATGTCTGTCTGTCTGTCTGTGTGTCTGTTAGATGCACGCGATATCTCACGAAAGCGAGATTGAATCTGCTCCAGATTTTGCATGTGCATTCATCTTATCTCGGACCAGATCCCTATTGATTTTGGGCGAATTATGTCGTATAATTAGCGAGTTATCAATCAATTATTGATATAGTGATCTAGATTTTTGTAAAGCGAGAGAATTTTGAAACCCGCCGAGTGTGTGTGTGCGATGCGCTGTGCGCAAGTTACAAGAGCGGATAAATCGAAACTGCAGTTTCTGTTTTGGGGGATCCCCTAACTATCGATCGATAAGTCTTCGGTTTCCAACCGATATTCTCGTTTCTAATATTATACGTTATGTATTTTTCAATTATTGTTATTTAGGACAATTTCTGTTTTCTAGCATGTTTTTTCAGCTTAATTCACCTTCTCTTTATCTCCTCCGAAGTTTTCTATATTATCTTGAACCCATCTCATAGCAAGTTGTTGATCTTTCAGTCCTTGATTTCCCAACAAATCAGATTCTTCTTTCTGATGATGAACAAGAAATCCAAATGGACCTGAAGTATGTAATGTGTTTAAAGTGGATAGTAAAACAGTAGAAAGTAGGCCAAAATATACATATTTGTAAAAAGCACCATCGTTTTATTGTAACGAGGCCTTCATTTTTTATTTTTACTTCATAACATTTTAAATCTTTCAAAAGCTTGGCGCGACAGTAACATTATGTACTTATTCTGCCAAACATGAAACATTGCTGAATTTTATACTTTTGAGCTTGGTCAGGATTAAGTTAACCAGTAACCAGTATTGATACATAATCATGAAACATCATCATATTTAGAATAGTGATGAGGACGCCAAACTTTAACGTCATAAGGTGTGAGTCGCCATCCGGAAAGACGTGTCAGAGATAGTATGTGCGTAGCAGAAATGTGAGAAATGCATGCATAAATACCAATAGCCAATAGGTAACGTGATACGTGATTACAGATAGTTTCGGAATGGAGTTTAAGAAACAAAACACCTACCTAACCGGTAATTGATTGTTACAACAATGGTATTCGTGGCATTCGCAAGACCAACAGCATTGTGACGAGGTTGGTTGCCGGAGTGAGCTTTAAATGATCCACCATGAATAAAAAATAGAACCGGAAGTCGTTTACTTGTAGAAATGGTAGTATCAAAGTTAATGGCGGACGGCACAAAGACGTTGAGAATCAAGCAATCTTCACTCAACTGTGTGATAAAAACAGTCGAGAGTTAACAAATATTGAACCTTAAAAGTTCCTCATGGCAAAATTGTTGGTGAAAATTTAATAAAAATATATATATTGTGTATTGACTCTTTTTTATTTCCTCATTCCGATACGCCATTTTTGAAGTTTTGGAAATTTATATTTCGTATAAGGGTATAACGAACATAAATAAACTATTAGCTTTAATTAAACTTATTTTCTAGATGTTTTTTGGACCAGCATGAATTTTACTTTGAGTAAATTATCGACTGTGTATCAGTGTACAACGTTTGAACAAGCCATAAACACTAATTGCTATATGTTCAGTGGTAGATTACAAATTAACACATCAAATGTCTTTCGTTTGAAAAAGTTTGTTGAATTTTATCATTGAATTTTACTTACATGAGTAGGACAATGACCATCGGCTATGAGAGATTCGTAGCTTTTGGATTGGAAACATTGAAGAAAATGATTCTTGGTGGCATTTATGTTTCCCAATGGTGTTAAAATTGGTTTAGGTGGTTGAAATCTAGTAACACAAGATGATTTTATATTTTATTAAATTGAAGTTGCGCGAAAAATGCTCAGAAATAACATCGAAACGGTGTGGGAATTATGATAAGAAATGAATAATTTGGGAAATGTTCCGGAAGGTTTACTGTCAGCACAAATAGATTAATATTTTGTTCACACGAAATATTGAATTTATGGTGCTCCTGAAGTATGCGCACCAAGATATTGCATAACCTGAACCCTAACCTGAGTTCAAGTTGTGCGCCATCTTGGTGCGCATGCTTCTTCGAATTTATATATATAGTATTTGATATATATATAAGTATTACTTCTGCTTATCTATTACTAGATATCTAAATTGTTACCTCAAATCGCCAACCGGTGGTTGAGCATAAGGTATGCCCCAGAATACATGTGATTTTAACGTTGTCACGCCGGTTACAAATCCTGATGTCGTATTTACTTGTGCATATCCCACGGGATCATCTGTTCAAATAAGATTTGCAGCATTGTTCGATATAATACTTTCTAATCTAATTAAAGAACGCGTGCGCGTGATGGCCAGAAGGTTAAATCCACGGCGTTTAGCAAAATTAGTGGAAAAATTTAAAACTATGAACAAAAGTTATCACGAAAGATATACCGGTTTCACAAATGTCAGCAAAGTGTTGATCTGCTCGCTCATCTTCATGGCTGTATCCGAAGAGCAAAATCAATAGACATACTGTAGGTATTTTATTCATATTAGCATCAACTGTACACGAAAAACTACACATAAAAAAGTGCCTTTCAAAAGTCTATTAAAATGTTAATTATCTCTGAAACATTAAGTCACAAAATCACTATAGTTATAGTTAAGCGGCTTCAAATTGTACCTATCTAGTTGCACTGGCAGTCAATAAAATCAATACATTCAACCTTTGAAATGGTGAACTGCCCTCAGCTGAGCTTTCTTTCTTATGGATCTTATATAATCTTAATACGTGCGGTTTTATTTCAATTGAATGACGAATACGTGAACGCTGCGGAAACGTGGCGAAACCTCATGAAATTTCAAAGTTGACGTGACGAATTACCTCGTGCAACTTGTATGTAACCATATTAAATCGCCAAACGAGTCAATAGCCCAAGGGCCAACCATACAAAACACACGACTACGATGTCATTTAGGTTTAATTGAATAAATTGACCAATCCTGATTCAACATTGTGGAGTGTATTTTAAGTATTTACCACACTTTAAACTTTATACTATCAGAAAAGTTAATATATAATTTTTGTTTTTCCAGTATTGGAATAATGATCACAGATTCATAAAATATCGATAAAAGACTATCCTAGTCATCCTATTAGTCATTCTTAATACTGATAAAACGCCTCAATAAATCGGCAACTTACTTCATCTCTTTACAAATTCATTCACGATGTCTGTAGCGTATAGCAGCTGTTGCTGTTAAATGCAGAGGGGTTTTATATATCTGATTCAAATACATCCGTACCCAACACAATGTTGTAGTATGACATATCTCACAAAATATCGACAATGTAGAGATATATTATTGCACAAAACACACTTTGATTTTACTGTTGGAATTTCAAGGTTTTCTCAAATGGTATTCCTCTTCAAAACGACAACTACACTGCTAATGATTTGCTGAAAACCTTATTGGGGAAACTTTGCTCGCATCGTGTTGGAGATTTGGACTAGAGTTCTAGCGTTTCGATTTTAGCGTACTGTAGACTCCAAACCTTGTGCTTGGCGCAAACAGCAATACCTTGATACGATCTTAGTTGAACCTTGCAAAATCCCTCCCCGTTTCACAATCTCAAATAATTTGAAACTTATATTGAAAAGGTTCCACAGCACTTTAAATGTCAATGTTGAAAGTTAATAAAAAAAATAAACATCAATAACAAAAAGACAAAATTATATATGTATATTTCTGAATTCATGTAATTTTCATTAATCATCAAGTAGCAAATCGAGAAATAATGATAGTAAACATATAGGTAACTTGCGGGTGTAGATAACGTCTTGAAAATAAATACAGAACGTCCAAACAGGGGTAATCTGTTTTACAAAGGTGAACAACTTAAATCACAATTAAGATAAATAACCTAACTGCAAATAAATAACAATAAAGAACATTCGGTGGAGCAATAATTCCTATTCAAGTCATAAACATATAACTAATCTAAATGCAATAGTCCTAACAACTAAGCAAAGTCTAACTGTCATAGTAACTAAACTAAGCTATACGAAACCTACTGCATTACAACCATAATCTAAGAATTACAGCTACAGTCAGCAAAACACGTCTTGGTGCCGACATCGACAAGTCTAGAATGGCTCGATGTGACATCACAAAAGGGTACGCGTAAATAAAATCGAGCAACAAGATTGCGACACTATAATGTGAACCAGGGCTTCCCAAACTTTTGAGCTCGCGGCCCCTTTTAATATATTAAAATTTTTCGCGGCCCTTGTCAACGTTAAATAATGCCGAACAGTTCGAATTATGCATTTTTGATGTTTTATTGGCACAGCTAATTCTCAACTTTAACATGTGTACTCAATAACAAAAACAAGCGCATATTTATTCAGATTAACGATTCTCAATTATTCAGTGTAATGGGTACGAATGCTTTTTTCTGTATAGCAAGGCTCAATGTATGTTTATACAGGCCTAAATGATGAATTACGATGTCTGGCTACCGACGGCATGGTCCTTATCTCGAATTGTTCACTCTTATTGATCAAACTTAGCATAAGGCAGCATTTTGTTCGACGCCAAATTATCAGGGAAAAAACTCATGGCGCATTCACACGAAAAATATACTGCCTCGAAACAAAACACAATTTTGTCATCGTTAATAGGTACTAAATGTCTTTTGAGGTTTTTAATCATGTAGGCCTGAGGAATAAAGGCAAAAAGTTAACGTTTCTCTTTTTTTTTTATCTCTGCTTGGGTTTTCTTCAAAATGCTAAAGAAATCACTCAAGTTTGATGAACTTGGTTCAGCAAATGAATAAACTGCAGCCTATACGAAATTGCAGCATGTAGGGTTATCTCTTATATTACGTAACAATAGACCCTACGTACAGAAAGTAAACACATAGAACGGCAAAATGACTTTGATTCCTAACACGTCATTTGAAACAATAAAACATTTAGAATAAATATGATGTGTAATATGTTTCGAGGCGCACTCAGCAAATCGTCTTCGGAAACCGCTAGCCGTCATTGTTATGCAAACCGTAAATCGGGTTTCGCGATCAGAATATGCATTGTTATGCAAGTGCGATCATTCTACCGTGTTTTCCCGAGGATAAGACCAAGCCTGAATTTAAAAAAAAATTTCAATATAAGCGCTCGCTTTTAAAAAAGACTTAGTCGATAGCGCAACTTTTTTTTTTTGACTCAATCTCGTGAAAGTGCGTCGTTTTAATTTTGCTAGGACGTCGCAAAATTTCGTGATTCGTGAACCTTTCAAACAAACCATATCTTCTACTTTCACTGGAAAAAAGAAAGGTAAAATCGATCTTATCTGTGATGTTGCTATAATAGAAAAGTTTAATTCTGGAAATTCGGTTTTCTGTAGATGAAGATTATTTGTCCTTGGTTCAAAAAGCGTTGCGCACTCCTATCTTCTTTGAGATTTATTATTTATATAAAGCAGGCTTTTCTACCAAGGCCCATTAATTGCGATTTCACTGACTGTCGTTAAGTTTTGTTTGTTCGTTTATATGAAACTCATTGCGAAAAAGATCTTTTATTAAAAGGTATCAATACGTATTTTCACGGGTCGCAACTTGAGCATATTTTTGAAGGGCGTCACAATACGATGAAGTTCGAGAACCACTGCGTCCCAGTCGATCGCATGAAATATTTCTTACTTTTTTAAATGGTTAATAATCTAAACGTAGTAGTTATTTTAAATAAAAACGTGCTATTTATAAGTAAATGGAAATCGGTATTCATATTTTATATAATGAAAAATCTCATTATTCTCTATCCCAAAAATAAGCCCTAGTGTTATTTTCGGAAGAAAATTGAAGACAGTGTCTTATTTTCGGAAAAACACGGTATTATGATGATGTATCCACTCGGAATCGTGAAATCTTTGTTTTACACTATTTGTATAATAATTAGGCTTACCATACGTCTCGCTTTAGGCGGGACAGTCCCGCTTTTTAGCGCATTGTCCCGCCATCCCGACAAGTCAGCCAAAAGTCCCGCTTTTGCGTTCAGCCATCCAGCATAATACACGAACGTGTTCTCGTTACTGTTGCTGCTGTGTAGCGCAACGCTAGCCTACTTACTGAAGGTGAATGCGTTATTTTGTTTGTTTCGTTGTTTCCCGCTAACATTGTTAGCCAACGTATCACATGAAAAATCAATTCTAATTGGTCCTGTTCGTGAATGTAACATTGAACAACGTCTTTTTGAAGGCGTTATCTACAAAGAACCATGCTTGGGCGAATAAGTAAATTCCCGATGCTTGAAAACGACAGACTATTTCATTACTCTTTATTCATTTTGCTGTACATAAAAAAAATCCAAATTCGGATCATTTGTATCGTTAGCATCTATTCCTTTCTATTTTTTAAATTGAAACTGATGAATTCTCGAGGACAATATCGTCAATGAAGACAGCCGAGATGGCTTAAATGTAGGCCTATGCCCTATGTAGTGAGATCGGAAACTGTAAAGTTACAGGAGGCGTCCCGCTTTAAAGTCAAAAAAATATGGTAACCCTAATAATAATTGTATTTTGAATCAAGAGTCTAAAAAAGTACAATATATATGGTACTTTGTGTAAATTTGGTGTTCTCTTTGCGGCCCCTAAAATTCGTTTCGCGGCCCCTTTCAGGGCCGCGGCCCCTAGTTTGGGAAGCCCTGATTTAAACAACTTGATTACAAAATGGAATTTAATTATTAGCAGTCCGTAACACACCGGGAATCCTTCATCTGATTTGTCCCATGATGACGATTTACCGATTTGGCCAGAATATAAAAAAGACAAAGGTGCGTATAAGACAGAAATAATAAAAACAGAAGCCCTTAAATTAAACATAATTCACGAAATGAGGTACCGTTATATATATATATATCACAGAATCTAAAATTATCTTCTAAAACATACGACGTAACTAACATATATATATAGCTCACATGTATATGGATACCTAGAAGTTCTATATAGCTAAAACATTGTTGCATTTTTTTGCTTGTTGTTATGTTTTGAAGTATGTAAAAGTTATTGGAATCAAGACTATTTTTCTGCATTACACAAACTTCAGGTATGGCATTTGATTTGTATTTCAAATATTTATGATTATTGAAATAATACAGATTCGAGTAAGAGCTGACTACACCTTATGATACAAGCCCCAAGAAGCACTATACAAAATGAGTATTTGGAAGAGATTTGCGACTTCTAGGACAGCATTTAGTATGGTGTAAAAGATGATGGTTCTGAAATACCAAACGTTACCAAAGTAACATAAACATCGCCACTTGCCACTTCTACCAGTAGTGGTGAAAATGTTAGAAAAATGCATAAAATTTTGTTTTTATATTACACTGTATAGAATTACAGAATTTATTGCTATTCTTTTCAGAAATAGACAGTCATTTTTCCCATTAGGAAATACTCATACAGACGTTGGTTTTCATTATCAACCTGTTTTATCAATGTCGTTGTCATTCCTCATCTTATAAAATACTATTTCAGCTGAAAATCCAAGATTCCATTTTGCAATTTGAAAGTTATAGTTTGTCAATTTCTAATATACATTGGTAAAAAGCAAGAAGCGAGTCTCTAGTCATTCAAAGTACATTACTACTTCAGTATCCGCGAGCATTTCCCAAATTTTTTCAGTTTTAAATGTTATGTTACTTTATTTTACATAACATAAAATTATGAAACAATGTACAGATAAGATAATCTCAAGAACTTTCATATGTCTTTATAAATGTTTCTATCGGAGTTTGATTCAATAACAATGAAAACTTATGAAATCGAATAGTGCACATAGTTTCCTTCTTCCAGCTACGACAGAATAGAATAACTGTACCTTTGACAAAACAGTGTTATTAAAATCTGTTTTGTGTAGCCTCAAAATAGTCTTTCAGCTTGTATCAATACCGAAAGAGCCAAAATTATAACAATAAATAAACACAGGTTTGTTAAATTAGTTTCATTACCAACTAGTTGTTTGCAAGCAAAAGCACGAAAACTGTTGTTATAAAATGTAAATAGTGGTTCATCCATAATTATTCCAATATAATATATTTTTGCAGGTGAACAAAATCGTTTAAGAAATTCAGTGATCTAGTTCAGTGATTCCCAAAGTGGGCGATATCGCCCCCCAGTGGGCGAAAACGATACAGAGGGGGGCGAAAAAGTCGAAGGGGGCGATTTCGCGAAACCTGTTTTATGTTCGGCGCACTTAATTCTGTAATCTGTGTGCATTCGCAGGCTTGAATCACGTGGGCGATTATCACACGCGAAAGGATTTCTGGACTCGTCTTCGCAGTAAGGGACGGTAGTTGCGTATCCCAGTGGTCGGCAAAATACGGCCGGAGTAAATTAATCTGGCCCGAGACGATTCGCTGAATGGACTATTCCCCGACCTTTGACCGCGGAAAATTCTTCCCATACTTTACCATTTTGAAATTTTCGGTGTTTATTTTAAGAGGGGTTTCGCGAGTTGTTGCCTGTAAAATGGGGTATTTGTTCCAAACTATCATTCTAATACACACCATTCAACAATCTGTTTTTTTAAAGTACCGATAAAGAATTTTAGCCTAGTCTATCACAGCTATTTCTACACTAATTTTTGATTCCTGTAATTAAACTGAAACTCATAGGAAGACAAAGTAATCATTGATTTATTTTATGTATATTTAAATTTCCGAAAAACAACTAAAAACTAACGAACATAATTCAAAATGCGAAACTGAGATAATGTTCACGACCACGCCTGAAAATCTGTCTGGGTGAGCGTGTCTGAGCGGATGTGAATGGGGGCATTGTTACGTTTTTGCATCTTGCTGATTGGCCAATGTTACGAAGTAAACAAGGAAGTCTTTGTCCGGGTAAACATCCAAACGGCGGTTTTGACGATGAAAATTTTTATTTATAATCTACGCTCGAGGAGTAAATTACATTTTTTTACGTAACAGAATTTATCGTGAGACACGTTTGGACTAAATTTTATTATATCCTAAAAATTCTATTGAACAGCTACTCGTTTTAACGAGCCCACAATTTAATTATAATTAGACAAATGGAAACACGAAGAAAAGTTGATGCTGAGGGCAGGGGTTCAATAGCGCAGTCAATATTCGAATATATTGCAATGCAATAAGAAAATAAAATTCATATTCTATTCGAGACATTCATCACTGCTTAATTTTTGTAAGAATGTATCTTCTTAAAGGAAATCTTTATCAAAATTTCACAAATCATGCGAAAATATTCACTTCGATGTTTGGAAGTACATATTTGTGCAATTTTTTTCAAAAATGAACATTACAAAGAACAAGCAAAGAACTGGGATTAGTGATGCCCATTTAGAAAATGTTCCAATTTTGGCGCCGTAAAGCTATTCAGCGTGATGCAGCAACAAGACAGTGTCACATTAAATGTCATTGTAATATTTTTTTAATAAGACGACTGAGTTGAGTTCACTAATTGTCGCAGTTTTCGCGCGCTGTTCCGTTTTTAACTTTCAAAAAATATATGCGACCCGCAAAAGACTGGCAACCCTGAATTTTGTCCCGCGAGCGACATAAAATTTGCGACCCCTGGGCCGTAACCAATAGTCGATCACGACTTCTTTCACATCCGATTCCATGGATCCAAAAACAAATGGCTGATTAATTATGGACTGGTGATTGGACTGGAGGCCGTGGTAGGATGAGGAATCGGGGATGAATTTTACCAAAGTATTTTGGTGCATGTCATCATGCTGTACGAATGAATGAGATACGAAAATCATTATTATAAGTTAACTTTGTTTTCAATATTTTAATGTGAAATAGGGTGAATTTAGGAAGTGAAATACTATAGAGCAAGAGTACACGGCGGTTTTTGAGGAGGTAGGACCCTGGATTCTTTCATTTCCGACCTATTATATGGTGAAAAATGGGTTTTCAGCCGTGCTACTATTGCTATAAAAACAACGAAATCGGCTCTCCACCAGTAAACGGGGTAATTTTAGATACAATAAATAACTCGCTGAAGAACACCAAGCTCATCTATTTCATTAAAAAACACTATAAACTATGATTTGTCTTCTTATTTGGTCTGTAATATATTCGTTTCTGACTTTATATTTTTTGTATTGCCGGGGGGCGATGAAGTTGTATAAACTACTATAGGGGGGCGATTGTCAAAAAAGTTTGGGAACCACTGATCTAGTTAACAAAGCATTATCTCATACTAGCCTCATATTTTGGCGTGTTGAAAGTCACAGGCACTTAGAATTTGGAACCAATAATTGAGATTAATACACTGATAATATCTGGCCAAATGTTTACTTGAATAAGTACCCCGGCGTCTGTTGTAAGCTGTTGATCATTTGTTATCGACACCGATCCAGTGGTATTTTCAGTGGTTTCTCTTTGCACGTAGCCAGTTTCATCCCAAAAATTACAAACACTTTCTTTATATTTTTGTTTCACCTCACTCGATGTATATATAAGCAAGTAATTCCAGTCTGTAAAATGTAGAATATTTATTTCTAAAAGTCTATGAAATATTGTTTGTTACTCTCAACAAGCTATTAGCGTATTAATAACATACATCAGGGTGAAAAATGTTTTATATTAAAGTATAGCTTTCCCATTTTGCAATAGTCCCCACTCCCCATACTGACAAGATCAAGTT